CATTTTTCGAAATGGTCCGTGATAGCACCCCACCCTGTAGAAACAACAAAAGCAGATCAATAACGGAGAGCAGTAAACAAGTATTTATTGACAGGTTACAAGGTTATCTTGCTGTGGCATCTGTCGACATTACGTAGTTGATAATATTTGGTACAAACATAATCTAGCGCTGGAATACGGTACATTTTTAAACAAAGTATTGTTATACAGCCTGTCTAAAAAAAAATGGTACAATCAGAAAAAAAAATTGGTTAAATATGAAATTTCAAAATAAGTCATTCTTACTTGGCATAATATTAAAGAACAAAGACTGGGCTTTTCAATAGTGTTTGTTTGATCTTATTTGCTTTTGTCAATTCAGAGATATAATCAATTTAGTGCGATACACCAAAATCGATTTTCTGCCACTTTTATGCATGGGCAGAATTGTTTCGAGTACTGTGCCATGCTGTCTTGAAGCTCACAAAAGATTGCAACTTGGCAAAAGAAACAAAACACAGATTAAAATACACAAAGGAAGTCTGGTTTTCTCGATACAAGCTTTAATAGTCAACATAATAAGTTCAATGATAAATATTTTCTTTTCATAAATAATAAACAAATAAAAATATTTATTGCATGTTTTAATGAAATACACTAATTCTTTCACCGTTCTCACTCAACCAGAAAGTGGCACAAACTCAATTTTTGTGTTCCGCAGTAAACTTGAGTTATCTCTGGATTGACAAAAGCAAATGAGATGAAACAAAAAGTATTGGAAAGCCTGGTCTTTCTTCTTTAATGTGATGCTCGAAACGACTTACTTATGTTGAGATTTAATATTGCAAAAAAAAAAATTCGTTTTCGATTGTACCATTTTTTTTGGACACAGGCTGTATGTAGATTGGGGAAGTGTGGCTAAGTAGTTAAGATTCATGATTCATGAACAGAGGGTCAGGGGCTCCAATCCAGCTGCTGGTCATATATTGTGTCCTTGGGCAAGCCATTTCACCCCCACTTGCCTCTCAGCATCCAGAATTATAAATTGGTACTGGTGTTAGCTGGGGATGAACATGCAATGGACTGGCATCCCATCCAGGGGAAAAGAAATATTCTCAGTCATTTCATGCCAGAGATAAACGCTAATTAACCGGAGATAAATGCTATGGGCCATATTAGCCTGTGACAGACTTTGCTAACTTTTTTATATGTATATTGATTTAGACAAATATTTATTTATTTTAATATTTCTTTGGTTTGTTTGTTTGTTTGTTTGTTTGTTTGTTTGTTTGTTTGTTTGTTTAAACTGGCTGACTGGCTTGTTGGTTGGTCAGGTTATCTGTTTGCTTATTTGTCGGACTTATTGATAAACATTTTAGCTCTTGAAAATTATTCTGAAAGGTTCTCCTTGAAGATTTTCCAGTCCTTGCATGTACCATGTCAATTTTTTTTGTAGAAACACAAATTACATACATTTAATTAATTACTTTAGTTAGTGGCAGTATTTGGGGGGGGGGATGAGGTTGTAGCTTAGGAGGGCCTTATTTTTGGGATGGGCTTCAAGAATATAAAGGTCATGTTTGCCTTCCCCAAATTCTGATGGTGGGGGAGACCAAATTCTTGGCCTTCCCCAAGTTATGCCATAATATTTAGTTGAAGACTTTGGATGCTTAATGTTGTTCCCCCGACAGCTACCAACGATTGCGAACCGAACCCCTGCCTGAATGGTGCCATGTGCATCGATGGCGATAACTCGTTTACTTGTCAGTGCCTGGAAGGTTTCATGGGTGTAAGATGTGAAGAGAGTACGTAGGTGGACCATGTCAATAAAACCCTGGGCCCAATTTCATGAAGTTGCATAGCTGAAACTACTGCTGAGCTTATTTGTTTGTGCTAAGCAAAAATCAGTGGGAAACCAGTTACAGGCAGTGTAAATTGAATGCTAAATAAGCTGGTTACCTGTTTCACCAAGGCCAAAGTATAGCTGTGTTCGAATTACTTGGCTTTGGCTTTAAGTCACGCACATGTATATGGAAGCGGCTGCAGCCACTTCCAATAGACTTGTGTGCATTTTCAAGCCGTAGCCAAGTAATTCGGACATGGCCTATTTTTCTTGGCTTAGCAACTTAATGGAAACTGGTCACTTGTATTGCACACTTGCATGCTTATTTCCCACTCTAGAGCCCCTCAACAACGTGGTATGCACCAGACATCCAACCGGTAGAAAAGAACATATACCCTATTTGAAAGTCCTAGTAGAGATCAGGTTAGGACTTTAAGTTAGCACCAGAAGTTAGCACCAAAAGTTTTCACCAACAAACATTATTTATCAAAGAGAAGCACTGTAGATTAGCATCAGAATTGATATCATCAGCCTTAAAGAGTAGCACTATAATTTAGCACTTGGATGGTAGCACCACTTTTTTCATTTAAGAGTAGCACTTTAATCAGTACCAGAAGTAAACGATAACATTTTTTTTCAATCGAGTTTTGCTTCATTTTGAAGCGGATGATGTACTCATTCAACTCAAATGGAAAAGTAAGGTAGCATTAGCTTTCTTCTCCATTTGATTCTGCCTGACTAACACGGCTGCCCACCACTTTTCATTCAATTCAACAAAACAAGTTGGTTTAAGATGGTCACATTTTACTTAACTTAGATATTTGCATGTGAGATTGAAATGACAAAGTAACAACAAAGGTACAACACTGTATGTATAAAACATTAGTGCCAGTGTTGTAGTCGAATACTTTTCCACGTGTACAAGTAAGAGTACTTTGCCATGAGTACGAGTACGAGTACCAGGCAACAAATTTCCACAAGTACGAGTACAAGTACTTTTCCACGAGTAAGAGTATGATGAGTACTTTGTTATGAGTACAAGTAATTTGCCACGAGTACGAGTACAAGTATAGGGAAACTTTTTCTTACGAGTATGAGTACATTTCCATGAGTACGAGTACAAAAAAAAGTACTCGAGTACAAGTATGAGTACGAGTACTTCAACACACTCTCCTGAAGACGGTCAGAGCATACTGACCAGAACGTCAAGTTTATACCTCTGGTTCTTTTCAGAACCATTCTCTTAGTTGAGAAATTATTCGCACATGGTGTTTCCGGAAACCGTTCATTCTTTAGTATCTCCACCATGCAAAGCCTCAAATCTTACTTACTACAACACTGATTAGTGCTAAAAACTATTGATAAAAAAGGTCCAAGGTAGACATTTTTATGCAGCATCAAAGGGTACAAGTAGGGAGCACCTAGAAGATGCACTTTAAATTAGCACTTAAAACAAAATCCATAGAAATGTGCACTGGGATGTAGCCGTAGAACCTGTAGCACCTGAGATGAGCACCCAGAAACTTGGGACACAAACTAAAGGAATACAGTTTAGATATTTAGACATATTAAAAGAGTTTGTTAATTTCTCAGTTGTGGATACATGTACCAGTCAGCCGTGCCAAAATGGCGGCACATGCACGGATGTCCTGGGCATATTCTTCACGTGTCAGTGTGTGGAGGGCTACATTGGAGACATGTGCGAGATCAGTAAGTGTGAATGATGAGAAGAATTGCCAAAGCTGTGAATCCACATTAGTTCAGAATCTTTTAATCATGGAGGGTCTAATAAAAAAGGGAACCAACCAGCAAAACCAGTCACTCGGACCAATTTTTGAAAACTTGAGATTTTTGGGTTCATTTGAAAGGACATTGAATTAGCTTTCCAGTGATTATAAAATATTGCAATCAGACCAAATCAGTCAGAGTTATAGGTATTTTCAGTTCCCAATTTGTGGGCCTCAGAAACTACTTTTCAGAGAAATTTGTCATTCAGGTTTCCCAAATGAATTTCTTAGGCACATTTCTATAAAAGTATTCAGGATGAAATTTGGAGTAAACAGACACTTGTCCTCATTTATTTATACAAATCGTCATCAATATTCAATGTATTGTAGGCTGTTTCTCCAAATATGGCTGTGTGACTGCCAACTGGGTTTGTGCTTGGTAGAGGGTCATGAGTAATTTTTAAAAACCGTTCAAAAGTAGGAAGTTAAATGTGGTATCCGTTTCTCATTATTAAAGAGCTGTACTGGCAAAGTTATTAGAAACCTGTCAGAATCCTAAAAAAAAATCACTTTTTTGTAAATTTTCTGATCAGTCTATTTGAGAAACAGTCATTCTGAGTGCTCACATAAGAAGGCCATGGTAACTTTCATTCCAGGAATTGTGTCATTTAGATTGGTTTACATTGTCTCTGGAAAAAACTAAGTAAGTTTAGAAAAATAACTTAAGTTTTGAAAAGTCTTGGAAGGAACTGTACTTCAGCACTGCTTTGTCTCAACTGATTTTTGCTCTTTGTTTATTAAAACAGAGGCTTTTGTCTTTCTTCAGATTGCCCAGGATCGAGAGATTTGTATCTTTTTATCTTATCATTATCTTATCATTATCTTCATACCTAATTGACAACAATAGCTGAAATGGAGTTTACTTGCCCTTTTCAAATTTGGGTTTTAACATTTTTTAGAACCACTGTTTACTCGTTGTTGTCTTGAGTGATTCTAAGAAGAAATTACTCGGATGGGACTTGAACCCACGACCTCCTGCTTACTAGTGCAGATGTTTTACCACTTGACCACCAAGCTTGCTGGAGTCAGCATGCTGGTTCGAATCTTAGATAGCTGCGGCGGGTACTGCAACCAAACTATTCATAAGGTGGACTTTGCATTGGGATGATGTAAATTCAGTACTGAGTTTTGCCCTTCACGACATATGTTTTCGCCTTGTTGAAATTGACTTTTTCCCCAAACTTTCCTATTTTAGATGATGGAGTTTCCAGAAACTGCTCACCGGAATTCACCATTTGTCTTTTTGATACAGATTTCAGACTTTTTTATGTCATAAAATGTCACAATTTGTCCTGGTTTTGGTCTGGCATATTCTGCCTTAATAACTAAACTAAACTCAAATAAATAAACTAAACTCTGTTTTGAATTGTTAATCATTTACTCTCTTATAGATGGGAACGATTGTCAACCAAAACCATGTACAAATGGCCTTTGTGAAGATGGAGTGAACACATTCACATGTGACTGTACTGGGACAGACTTCACGGGCACCTTGTGTGAAAATCGTGAGTATGGCTGTACCCAATCGAGTATCCCGTGGCTACAACTTTGATTTCTGCCACTGGTGTGCTACAGACAGTAGCCATAGCCTGCTTGCTTCAGTCTTACACAGGGTGGGGTAGTTGTCAAATGGGTGGGCGGACAAGTGAACATTTAAGTAAGTGGCTTCAAGAAGATTTGGCAAAAAAAGGCATTTTTGTAAGCAGAAGACCTGTACGTGTCTCTTTAACTGTTCTAACTTCTGTACAAGCAAAGCGCCATAAAGCTAGTTGTGTCACAAACTTTTCATGATTTTATGAGGCAAGATGGTGGAGACATTTGAGTAGCTCTGACAGCAGATGCTTGTAAAGGATATTTCACAGTTCAAAGACTATTGACAAATCTGCAAAGAAATGTTGACAATTTCAAAACTCAGTACAGAATTGTCATTGAACCTTTTTTCAAGGTTTCAATATGTTCGTAAAATTATCCAAGCATAGTAGCTTAATGCAAAGGAGGATTGCCAAGAGATTGAAAGAAAATCTCAATTTTAACTTTACAGATTTTGACAACCTGAATGGCTACATCTGAATTATTTAGCTATGATTTACACTTGTGCTTATTGAAAGTGGCTGATGCTACTTCCTATGGACATGTATGTTACTGAAAGTCGTAGCCAAGTGTTGTCTGACTGTTCAGTTTTTTGGATTGTGAATTTATTATAGAGATAAACAACTGTGCCCCCAACTCATGTGTGAATGGCCAGTGTGTGGACGGTGTTCTCACATTCACCTGTAACTGTGCTGGGACAGACTTCACAGGGACCCTGTGTGAAAACCGTGAGTTGTCTTAAATGTTCACATGGAACAAACCATCAGTGATATTGGTTTGGAGGTGTGGATCTAGGGGGAAGGGGGAGGGGGAGAGGGGAGGGGGAGGGGAGGGGCAAACCACCCACCCCCCTGCTCTGACATCCCCCAAAATAATTCTGACAATTATAGTAATAATAATGACCTATATGTTCGCCTGTCTGCAACACTCGGACATATAGAGGCGTAGCTAGTGGGGGTAAGAGGGTATTTGCACACTATTAGGTGATAGTGTGCATGATCGTCGGATTTGAACAACGTCCCCATGGCACCAGCCCTGCCCCCATTGGAAGATGGTATCAGCCCCCCCCCCCCCCCACACCCCACTTTTTCATTTTTCGGAGGCCAAGTGTCCAGGAAAAAAACAACCTGTTTACATTTCACTTGCACCTTTAGGTGTAATTGTAGGTGAAATTTGTTGCTCAAACATTGTTTGAAATCCCTGATGTCTATGTAGAACTGCGCGTACACAGGCATAGCAATCAAAATATTTTCAAGATACCTTAGAAATTTGTAAGTCTTTTTTTGTTTTCATTGTAAAAGGAGTAAACGATTGCCCAGCAACCAACCCATGTCTGAATGGTGGTACATGTCAGGATGGTACCACCCCTGGAGCATATTCTTGCCTGTGCCCAACTGGTTTCACTGGAATGCTTTGTGATAACAGTGAGTTGGATTTATTTGTGTTTTTGTTTTTTTCTGAGGTGGACGTGTGATTTTGTTTCAGTCAGTGAATATACTTGGAATCATCACCTCTTTGTTTTGACCAAAGATAATCACCTACAATTGTTTTGGGAGCTTTGCAAAGTACAATACTCTTGTACATCACAGTGCAGGGGTGCGTTTTGGCGGTCATAACCAAGAATTGGTTCGGTAGTTTCTTGTCGGTGAATTTCTTCAGCAATCTTAATTGGGTTAGAATTACGCATGATCATGTAGTACTCAAATCCCCAAAACAATTAACCAAAGAGAAACCACCGAACCAATTCTTGGTTATGACCGCCAAAACGCGCCCCAGGTACGTGTATAAGAATAGGGGCAGATTTGAGGTGCATAGCTCAGATGCATTGTATCATTTTGCCTCAGGTGAAAATTATGCACATTCGTCAGGGCCTTGACCTTGAATAAACCATTTTTTTTTTTCATTGCAGTATTTGCTTATAATTTTGTCTTTGAGAAATCTATTAAATCTGTGAGGGACGACCCTGAAGAAAATAATACTTGTGACCTGCAGTCAGGAAACCTACCAACACAGAAAAATGTAAAAAATATAAAAAATATAAAGGTTGGCCCTAACAAGTCATGAAGTTAAAGGGAATATACAACATTCGTAAGCATCAAGAAACAAAACTACCAAATTATTATGAAATACCTTACTGGACTAACTGTTAGCAAATGATAGTCATTTTCAAGAAAAATGGTATTTTTGTATCAATTTCAAATTTCCAGCGTTGGAAAAAAAAAACTTGCTTTTTTTCAATTACTGCCCCCAATTTACCATATTTAGTTAGTCCGCATTTTGTTTGCAATCAATTACACACCTACCGGTATGAACGGGTACAAGCCAGCTAGACTGGTTCCCTGACCTTACAATTCTCAGACGTCTATAAATTGCTTCATTTCATCATTATGTGGGATCAGGAACCAGACTACAGGAACAAGATTGTGTTCCTTGATTTTCAGCATCTACGAACACAAAACTTGAAACAAGTCAGTGTAACAATATTTGCTATAAAATACTAATCCCCCAAATTCATCCATTTCTGAAAATTACAGCAGGAGCAGATGTTGTATTATGCATTTTGTTCGTTTCCAATACTAACACCACTCAAAATCCAAAGAAGAATATTCAAAACCTGACCTGTTGAAGTTTCAGCTCAATGGATATTATTACTCTATGAGAACAAAAAGGAAAAACAACGCACAACCTTTTCATCACAAAACACAATGTCGTCAATAGCACTCTTTATTTCCAAAAGTCAGTCAACTGATTGATTGTTTCTTGATTTCTTCTCAATGACAGCAAGCCAGACAGACTAATTTCACAGGGTGTTTAGTAGGCCTACCAGTACGATCTTTAATCTGAGTAGGCATTTTTTTAACAATATTTTGGTAGGTTACTTCTGGGATAAATGCAAACGATCCTGTATGCATTTAAATGGATACTGCTAAAGATGTATTACCATGTTTGGACTCAAGATGCAGCGTGAATCTGATGAGCTTTCTTTTAATGGTGACTGATAGACTGACAATTTGTCGCTTTTTTTTCTCTTCAGATCCAAATAACTGCATCGGCACTACATGTTTGAATGGCGGTCTGTGTGTAGATGGGGTCAATGTGTTCACATGTGACTGCTCACTGGTGGACTATGAGGGAGATGTCTGTCAAAATCGTAAGCAAACTTTTGGACTTTTGTTATTGTTCACTATTGTTAGCAGTGCTCTTCTAATATGTTAATACCTCAAATGGTTTATGACCATTCCCACTGGCCAGAACCCCTGTGATATGAGAGCAAAACTTTTGTTTAAATGGATCATGAAATGAGGTTTACACTGGAACATATTTTTTGTGTAAATTCCCGTTCCTCTGAAATGTATGAAAAACTATGAGACATGCATTTTAGCATTTCCCAAAAGCATGATTGTTGTTCAGGGGTTGACTAAGGCAGAAACTCTTCCAGTTGAGCATTTTTGTGTTCAAATTGTGTCCCCATCAATTTACTCATTGGAAACATTTGTGCATAGAGTTTGCTAATGGACTTTGACAGTCATTGCTGAAACAACAACGTATCACCAAAAACAGAAATACTTACATAGTGTCATTAAATGGTTCGTCCCATTCCATGGCCAAGCTGCATCGCAAAGATGGAAGTTCTATGCCAAGGTGAATAGAACTTCCATTGTACATCTCACAATTGGTGGTTCTGTCCAATCAGATGACAAGGATTTGTTTGATGATGTGTAACTAATACTGAACGTTTCAAATTTGTGCAATGGAAAGAATATGTTTGACAGATGGAATGTTCCATTGCATTCCATCCGTCACCTCATGAAATTATTCTTACCATTGAACTCATAAACATTCATTATTTGTATTTTGTGATTATATGAGCAATATACCAGCAATAGGGGATAAAATTATGAACTAATATACATGTAGTATGGAATGTAAGTGCTTTTATCCCAAATGGATTAAACGCAAGTACCGGTAAACTACATTATGACATTGAGCCATTGCATTCGGTTTTTAGCTGCGCGATAGCAGCTCAACAAATGTTCATGTCTAGTTAATTAGTTAGTAACAAACTTCGACATTGCCTATTGCTCCTACATATTTTAACAAATTTCAAACCAATATTTGTCAAAAGTATCAGAAGCCCAGCCCCAATATGTCACATGACCAAATTGAGGTCAAAGGTCATCATGGGGTACCTGGGGTCAAAAACCTAAAAGTTTTTTGTCTCAAAATGCTACTCCTTCCAGAAATTACCTGGCACAATCATGTGACTCATGAATGAACACAAATTCATTGGCCCTCAGCTTCTGAGATATTTCCGATCTAGCTTGTTTATGGTTGACGCAACAAATTATATTTAGTACAAAATCTGAATAAATGAACATAATTGGCTCTCAATTACATTTTTCCTACACTTTGAGCAAATGCCATTGGAAAGGAAAGCAAGTTATACTCATTATTGAAGGTTTCACAGAAATATCTTGGTTTCGTTTTAATACAGAGATCAACAATTGTCAACCCAATCCTTGTCTCAATGGTCAGTGTATGGATGGTGTACGCACTTTCACATGTAACTGTGCAGGCACAGACTTCACCGGGACCTTGTGTGAAAACCGTGAGTTGAACTAACATATAGCACCATTGTTGTAGGACTCAAGTCCAGGACTCGAACTCAAGTCTGTCTTGGTTCTTGGTTGGTTCTTTTCCTAAATACTCCACGTGAGAGTTTATACAGGAGGCCAGAAACACTGGGGCAAACCCCTTCTCTTAGCGATAAGTGTTTACTGGGTTCTTTTACGTGCATTTATGCAACACACGGGACCTACGGCTTAACGTCCCATCCGAAGGACGAAGCAATAATGGTTAAGTGCCTGGCTTAAGAGCACAAGTGTCCGCCGGCGGGCTCGAACCCACGTCACTGTTGCCTCTGAAACACCAGAACATGAGTCCGGTGCTCTTAACCGCTAGGCCATGACACTCCATGTCTGGAGTAGCAATGTTGATGACTCAGACTCGACCCGAGTCACATTGGCGAAAGACTCGGACTCGAACTTGACTACCGTGACTCGGACTTGACAAATGACTTGTGCAGACAAATCTGGCGATACAGTGAAATGATCAGTCGATAACATGACATAAAAATAAAATAACAAATTGACGAAACAGCCATATGTTTGTCCACAAACATACATCTAGTTGAACGTTGTTTTTCAAAGAATATGCTCAGTATGACTGAGATGTGAAATTATGACAGTAGAAGAAACCCTTAACTTCATGTCAGTGAAAAAAATCACCGTTATTGATGCAGAAACGTCAATGCTTTACCAGTGTAAAGCTGATATAAAGTCACTGCCCGTAACATTCAAGTAATTTACATGTGATCTAACTGTGTAGTTCTTTGGTTGTGATTTGTTATAGAGATAAACAACTGCAATCCTGACCCATGTGTGAATGGCCAGTGTGTGGACGGTGTTCTCACATTCACCTGTAACTGTGCTGGGACAGACTTCACAGGGACCCTGTGTGAAAACCGTGAGTTGTCTCGAATGTTCACATGGAACAAACCACTTGTCATATTGCAAATCTAGCTTAAATTGCAAATCTAGCTTAAAAACAGGCCTTAAGAAACAGAAAGCCTTTCTTTCCTGTGTATATGATTTCCTAGTATTGTTGTAATAAACATTAAAAGAAAGAAACAAATGAATTTATAACAAATATTCATATATCGGGGTTTGACTTTAGCGGTAGCCCGCTAGCCAAATGCTAGTCATCAGGCAGCGACGGGCTAGTCAAACTATTCCTTAAGTAGCCCGGCTGGCGAGTGAAAAACTATTAGGATACGGCAAAGATGAAAGGACAGGAAGAAATAAATCATTAAATTCAGAAAGCAAACCTGTATCAATTTATGTCTAATTTTATTATTTGTTAAGGTTTCAATTGTTAGATCTGTTGATTAAAAAAAATGGCAAGATTGCCGCAGGATACAGGCTTTACATGTATGCACATTGTTGTTTCACGAGACACCCTCTAAAAGAAAAACATGCGCACTAGTTAAGAGTCTGTTTCAGTATTGTGGCTGGCTTAAGTGAGAAAAAAGTTAAGGTCAAATCCTGTAAATACCTGAGACAGTTTTAATATCCATTGATATTGGTCAAGAGCCCTCACGTGGGTGGTTTTAAACTGCTCACAAAACACCGGCTGGTTTTAAAAATTGTATTCCGGTTAAGGTAGAATTCTGTGAATACCTGAGACAGTTTTAATATCCATTCCTATAGGACAAGAGCCCGTCACGTGGGTGGTTTTAAACTGCTCATAAAACACCAGCTGGTATTCATGCACCGCTGTGTTCTGCGCCACATGACGCAGTACGCCTTGCACGTGTGCCAATCTCCATAAAAGAAGATTTGTAGTACTAGATGCGCGAGTAACATAAAGTACCAAAGTGCGCCGCGTATTCTGTTCCATGCGCACCGCCTAAGTGTGTGAAGACATCAGCGCGCGAACCAAAGTGAACCAGAACAATGACAGCTGACGTCACACTTCGGTACTCTATAGACATTGCCGGAGGGGTGTTTCACAAAGCATGAGGCACAATTGTTGAACAAAACCATTGGAAAATTGTGAAATGTTTGACTTGTTTTGACTTTCTGACCAAAAGGTATTTATGAGTGGAAATGAATATGTGCTTGGTCGATATTAAACGAGTACGTTAAAACCGGCTAGTGGCCTGGTCGCGGCTAGCCAGTTTTAAACGTACTTGTATAAAATCGGCCAAGCACATATTTATTACCTAAAGCCGTGTTCCCATTGGACTTTTTCTTCAGCGGCCACGCGGAAAGTTATCGTGACTGGCTTTGGTGTAATTCTACCGTGCGTTCCCACCTGGACTTATATTCCGCGACGGAACGGTTCATTCGCTGTTCGAGACTGGCAGAATGTCACACATTGCGGGCGCTGTGCACAGTCACCTTTGACCTATGCGGGATATGACGTGCCTGTGACGTATTTTTCGCGCGCTGAATTTAGTCGGCCACGTCATTTCTCCTGTGCCTTCATCAGCATTTTCACGTTCATCTAGCCCAATTAAACTCCTCACAAAATCGATCAAATCTGCCATGTTTCTAACTAGTAAAGTAGCAAAACTGCAGCAGCTGGACGAGATTGAAAAAAGCGCTGCAGCTGAGCGTAGTGCATGCTACACACGCTGTGTACGGTACGATGATAATATCACACCGCCATCAGTGCAAACGAGACAGGGAACCATACTACCATTTTCGCGCAAATTCTGTGTATACAGGAAGTGTTGTTGTTTGCATAGCATTTTACAGCGTGGACACGGTAGGTTTACAGCGCGGAGCGTTCCCATTGGACTTTTTAGCGGCCCTGCTAAGTTACCGTGGCTGCGCGGAAGTCTTCCGCGTCCTCTTTCGGCCTGTTAGTTTTACATCACGGTCGCGGTAAGTTGACAGGGACGTCAGTTTACCGTGTGTCCCCATTGGATTTAATTTTGTCATTCTACAGAAAAGTCGCGGTACATTAACCAAAAAAAGTCCAATGGGAACACGGCTTAAGTAACAAATAGGGGGAAAAGTGCAAGTATTCCAGAATAATTAAAAAAGAACAAACACACATTTCCTCTTTAACTATCTAACCACATTTATCCGAGAATTCCCAGCAAATTTGCAAACCTTTCTCTCCACCACTTTAAAAAGTAGGAAGAAAATTCTGGAAGGTCTAACAATCTGTTGCTTGAAGTACATGTATGTAAACCAATGAAATTCTTGCAATAGCCCTTCTGGTATATGTGAAAGTGACCTGTGTATGTGAAATATGTAGCTTAAACTTGTTTGAAGCCCCTGGTGTCCTATTTAGGATGGTTCTTATGTAGGAGTACCAACCAAAATATTTGAAGAGCGTAAATCTTCAGGTGTAGGTGGAAATCTCTTTCACCTTCAGGTGTAGGTGGAAATCTATTTCACCTTCAGGTGTAGGTGAAATGTGTTGCTAAACATGTTGGAAGCCCCTGGTGCTCTATTTTGGACCGTACTTGTGTAGCAAAACAGTCCAAAATATTTCAAGAGGATATACCTGGTATAGGTGAAAATCACTTCTATCTTCAGGTGTAGGTGAAATTTGTTGCTCAAACTTGTTTGAAGTCGCTGGTGTAGGACCGTGCTAATGTAATAAAACCATCCAAAATATTTAAGGCCTACACCTTCAAGTGTAGGTGGAAATCACTTTCACCTTAAGGTGTATTTGTAGGTGAAATTTGTTGCTCAAACCTTGCTTGAAACCCCTGGTGTCCATTTTAGGACTGTTCGTACATAGGGATACAAAAATATTTTCATGAGACCTCAGCAATTTGTGAATCTTTTTTTATTGTTCTCATTGTAACAGGAGTAAACGATTGCCCGGCAACCAACCCATGTCTGAATGGTGGTACATGTCAGGATGGTACCACCCCTGGAGCATATTCTTGCCTGTGCCCAACTGGTTTCACTGGAATGCTTTGCGATAACAGTGAGTTGGATTTATTTGTGTTTTTTTCTGGAGTGGGCATGTGATTTTATTTCAGTGAATGCACTTGGAAATATCACCTCTTTGTTTTGACCAAAGATAATCACCTACAATTGTTTTGGGAGCTTTGCAAAGTACAATACTCTTGTACGTCACAGTGCAGGTACGTGTACTAGAGTAGGGGCAGATGTTAGGTACATAGCTCAGATGCATTATATCATTTTGCCTCAAGTGAAAATTATGGACATTCATGGGGGGGGGGGCTTGACTTTGGATAAGCCAAGCTGTCATTTGAATATTTGCTGATAATTATGTCTTTAAGAAATCAATGAAATCTAAAGTTTGAAGCATGTTTATACCAACACGTATATACCAACTTTAAAGCGATAGATGATATTTTGCTTTTCATGCATTTTGACTATTTTCAAATGATAACGCCACTCAAAATTCAAAGGAGACTGTTCAAAACTTGACCTACAGTTGCAAAGACGCAAAGATCCTATATGCATTTAAAATGGATATTGCTGAAGATGCATTACCATGTTCGAACTCGCGATGCAGCCTGAATCTGATAAGCATCTTTTAAAAGTGACTGATAGACTGACAAGTTGTCTTTTTTTTTCTCTTCAGATCCAAATAACTGCATCGGCACTACATGTTTGAATGGCGGTCTGTGTGTAGATGGGGTCAATGTGTTCACATGTGACTGCTCACTGGTGGACTATGAGGGAGATGTCTGCCAAAATCGTAAGCAAATTTTGTTCTGTAGACTGTCGTTATTGTTCACTATTGTTAGCAGTGTTTTTCTATTGTGTTCATTTATAACCATTTTTACTGGCCACAACCCCTGTGATATGAGAGCAAACATTTACATGGAAACATATTTTTTTGTAAATTCTTGTTCCTCTGAAATAAAAGCTATAAGACATCCATTTTATCATTTCCTGAAAATGCTTTGCAGGGGTCGTTTGAGGCACAAACTCTTCCAGTTGAGCGTTTTTCTGTTCAAGTAGCATTTCCAACAATTTGCTCATTGGAAACGATCGTGCAAAGCGTTTGCTAATTGACTTTGACAGATATTGCTGAAACAACAATTAATCACTAAGAACAGAAATACTAACATAGTGTCATTAAATGGTTCGTCCCATTCCATGGCCAAGCTGCATCGCAAAGAAGGAAGTTCTATTCCAAGGTTAAATAGAACTTCCATTGTATGGTCTCACGATTGGTGGTTCTGTCCAATCAGATGACGAGGATTTATTTGATGTTGTGTAATAAATAATGAACGTTTCACATTCGTGCAATGGAAAGAATAATATCATTCGTTGACAGATGGAATGTTCCATCACATTCCATCTGTCAACTCATGAAATATTCTTGCCATTGCACTCATAAACATTCATTATTTGTATTTTGTGATTATATGAGCAATATACAAGCAATATGGGATAAATTTATGAACTTATATAGTGTGGAATGTAAGTGCTTTTATCCCAAATGGATTAAACGCAAGTACCGGTAAACTACATTATGACATTGAGCCATTGCATTTGGTTTTTAGCTGCGCGATAGCAGCTCAACAAATGTTCATGTCTAGTTAATTATTTAGTAACAAACTTTGACATTGCCTATTGCTCCTACATATTTTAACAGATTTTAAACCAAACTTTGTTAAAAGTATCAGAAGCCCAGCCCCAATATGTCACATGACCAAACTGGGGTTAAAGGTCATCATGGGGTGACTGGGGTCAAAAACCTAAAGAAAAATCTCAAAATGCTACTCCTTCCAGAAATTTCATGGCACAATCATGTGACTCATGAATGAACACAAATTCATTGGCCCTCAGCTTCTGAGATATTTCCGATCGAGCTTGTTTATGGTTGACGCAACAAATTATATTTAGTACAAAATCTGAATAAATGAACATAATTGGCTCTCAATTACATTTTCCCTACACTTTGAGCAAATGCCACTGGAAAGGAAAGCAAGTTATACTCATTATTGAAGGTTTCACAGAAATATCTTGGTTTCGTTTTAATACAGAGATGAAAGGAAAGCAAGTTATACTCATTATTGAAGGTTTCACAGAAATATCTTGGTTTCGTTTTAATACAGAGATCAACAATTGTCAACCCAATCCTTGTCTCAATGGTCAGTGTGTGGATGGTGTACGCACTTTCACATGTAACTGTGCAGGCACAGACTTCACCGGGACCTTGTGTGAAAACCGTGAGTTGAACTAACATAATTATAGCACCATTGTTGTAGGACTCAAGTCCAGGACTCGGACTCAAGTCTGTCTTGGTTCTTGGTTGGTTCTTCTCCGAAATACTCCACGTGGGAGTTTATACAGGAGGCCAGAAACACCGGGACAAACCCCTTCTCTTAGCGATAAGTGTTTACTGGGTTCTTTTACGTGCATTTATGCAACACACGGGACCTACGGCTTAACGTCCCATCCAAAGGACGAAGCAATAATGGTTAAGTGCCTTACTTAAGAGCACAAGTGTCCGCTGGCTGGCTCAATCCCACGTCACTGTTGCCTCTGAAACACCAGAACATGAGTCCGGTGCTCTTAACCGCTAGGCCATGACACTCCATGTCTGGAGTAGCGATGTTGATGACTCAGACTCGACCCGACATTGGCGAAAGACTCGGACTCGAACTTGACTACCGTGACTCGGACTTGACAAATGACTTGTGCAGACAAATCTGGCGATACAGTGAAATGATCAGTCTATAACATGACATAAAAATACAATAATAAATTGCCGAAACAGCCATATGTTTGTCCACAAACATACATCTAGTTGAACGTTGTTTTTCAAAGAATATGCTCAGTATGACTGAGATGTGAAATTATGACAGTAGAAGAAACCCTTAACTTCATGTCAGTGATAAATATCACCGTTATTGATGCTGAAACACCAATGCTGGTCACTGGTAAAGCTGATATAAAGTCACTGGCTGTCAAATTCAAGTAATTTACATGTGATCTAACTGTGTAGTTCTTTGGTTGTGATTTGTTATAGAGATAAACAACTGCAATCCTGACCCATGTGTGAATGGTCAGTGTGTGGACGGTGTTCTCACATTCACCTGTAACTGTGCTGGGACAGACTTCACAGGGACCCTGTGTGAAAACCGTAAGTTTTCTTGAGCTTTCTCTCAGAAATTTTGTTCACGCAATAATTTGTGAGAAAAACATACTTACATAGTCATGAAATTTACTGATGCAGGAGTGAACAGGACTTATTAATTGTAGAATTTGTAACAAGATACATTTTTAAATTTAATTTCCATTATTCGCTGTTCTCTTGAAGGTTTAAAACATTGAACTATTTTTATGTAGCCAAAAGTCTGATCTGTGAAATTAAACAAATGTGGCCAAAATAAGTCTAATCGGAAACTGCCATTTGGAAATTGTCAGGAAATTGATCCTGTAAAATTTCGTTCATCAAATCATCTGCCTTTCACAGACAAGAAAATTTATCTCAGAAGTTGAAAAGTTGCCAAGTCACATTTTGAATTGCGCCCTCTCATGAAAGAATCCCAAATGATCCTCATTCAGCCAATTGTGACTACTATATGACACACCGAACTGATGCATAACATCAGCAGCGTGCGCGTTTGTTGTGTCAACGCTTCCACCCATTCATGGATTCGCCCAATTACAAACCAACTACCAGCGGAAATTTGCAAAAATGTGTCGTTTGCCACATATTTGGAGATGACCTTCTTTTATTGTTTCCTTAAAAATGACAGCATGCCAGGAAGAATAGTTCCACAGGGAGTTTAGTGTCATTACTGTCTTTAAACCAAGTTTGCTTTGTAACAATAATTTGGTCGTTTACCTTTGGATAATGGAAATTGGTCCACTTTACCTTAGTGGATATGCTATTTATTTCCAGGTTTTGCGATTAAAAAGTAGGACAAAAATCAACAAAAATTCAATGTAAAAAGTCTCAAACAGCTGAGAATCTCCTCTTTGGGTAGACAAACAAACTTTACAAGAGTCCAATTAGTTTGAATGATAACTTTTTTCTCATTGTAACAGGAGTAAACGATTGCCCAGCAACCAACCCATGTCTGAATGGTGGTACATGTCAGGATGGTACCACCCCTGGAGCATATTCTTGCCTGTGCCCAACTGGTTTCACTGGAATGCTTTGCAATAACAGTATGTCAAAGTTATCTTTTATTTTAGTCTACTTCTTCTTGTGTTTACAAATTATGTTTTTATTGATCATTTTTATTGTTATGAACTTAAATTACATGCATAACCTTATTCGCAGTTAAGTTTTAGGAATAGTTGAAGTCAAAATGTGATTCATGTCATTGCTTGCTACAATGTTTCAGATCCTGACGATTGCATCGGTAACCCGTGTCTGAATAGTGGTCGATGCATAGACGGGGTGAACCAGTTTACCTGCGATTGTTCGATGGTGGACTATGAGGGACAGAACTGTGAAACCCGTATGTTGAAATTTTAATTTTAATATTTTTCTGAACTGCTTCATAGACTTTCTATTAAATTCTACCAGAGCTGTGTTCAAGTCATCAAAAATCAGACACAAATCAACACAGTGATTGTATTACCTTGTTTTTTTACGCATATGGCAACGCATATATGTGCACCGAAGAATGTGTAAGCAAACATGGTGGAGTGTGGCCTACTGGTTAGGGTTCATGACTCACGATCAGAGTGTCATGGGTGCTATCCAGCCGCTGGCCATATGCTGTGTCCCTGGGCAAACCACTTCATCCCAACTTGCCTCTCTCTACCCAGGAGTATAAATGGGTACGGGCATTAGTTGGGGAGTAACCTGCGATGGACTAGCATCCCATCCAGGGGTAGAAATAATAAGTAGAAATTATTCTCAGTCGTTTTGTGCTACTGAAACACGAGATAAATGCAGATGGGCCACATTTGCACATGACATACTTTACTGTACTTTGGGACCATTCGAGAACTGGGTGAGCTGGGCCCGCCCAGTAAGTTGCCGCCCGCTCCGAACACTGTGGCCGCCCAGTTACTCAAGCGTGACGCTCGGTTGACTGCAAAAGCAGCACTCTGGGTCACAACAATAGCTGCTTTCAATGGATTAGTGGTTATTGTTAAAGGATTACAGTGCCCAACTCAGTTGGGGTTGGTTTGGAAGACTCCTGGCTATCATTTTATTTTTTGCTGAATTTGATTCTATTTGAGCTTCATAGAATACAAGTATTTCGTTTGCATGAAATCATACGTTTATGTAAATATGCTTGACCGTACACCATAATTCCTTTTTTTACACTGTTGCGGCGCAGTAGTTGAAAGTTTCCTAAACGTGCAACTGTTGATTTTTAGAGCGCTGGCTGATTGTCATAATATTGTCACAGTTACACTAAGTTTGCCAAAAAATTGGCAACTGATGTTTTTCCGATGGTCATAGCTCAGTCATTTACTGTTGTGTGTCGTCGCAAGGTTGACCTGAGGGCTTCCTTATACTTATGAGACTCACTCTTCATTTGGTCTTTTTTTCCGAAGAAGCCACTGCAAGAAAATGGAATGTTCCAGGGACCACCGTGAAAGCTATTTGTAATACTGTTCTAAAAATTGAAGTGTGGCAAATATTTTTTCATTACAAGTATTTCTAAATCACTAAAATCTTTTTCAAACTACCACCTATAACATTGTCTTGATTGATATATTGTAAAAATCCAACAAAGAAGTTGACTGAAACCGGACTATAACCCCGGACTTGGACTCCTAGAAAACAAAATTGGTGCTTCACTTACTATATGTACATTTGGTTTTGTTTTTCTGAACAGAGATCAATGATTGTCAACCCAATCAATGTCGCAATGGTCAGTGTGTGGATGGTGTACGCACATTCACATGTAACTGTGCAGGCACAGACTTCACCGGGACCTTGTGTGAAAACCGTGAGTTATTTTGCTTCTTCGTTTAACAAGAAACAAAAGATACTGATTAGATTTTAATGGGTTACAACTTAATCACATGGAAGATATTAGGCAAAATATGCCGTTGAAAGATGCCAAATTTGCAATTTTCAGTTCGCAGGTCTAAAGTCTATCACATGAAGAATTATTGGCATTTTCATTTGGCCTTTTCTCAAGCCATGGTTTTGTCTCATCTTCGGCCACAGGCTCTGGCTTCATGATTTTGGATCCCTGGTTAGGCAGATTCTAGCTCAATATGAGTTCTTTTTTCTGTTACAACATATAATATGTAATCAAATTTGAATTCTTTTATGTGAAGTTAAAGTTTAAATGCTTCCAAATGACGTTATGAGTCAATGACAGAGCTTCAGCTGCACCCACAACTGGAGTTAAAGAAGGGGCTTGAAAGTATAAACTCAAGATTTGATCTTTTTCAGAGGTGAACAACTGTCTTCCCAACCCGTGTGTCAATGGCCAGTGTGTGGACGGTGTTCTCACTTCCACATGTGATTGTCGCAATACCGACTTCAGTGGACTTAGGTGTGAAATCCGTGAGTTGCACTGATTAGTTCTTCCGAATATATTATTGACAGCACTGGTAGGCCGGTTTATACTGGAAGCAAAGAGAATTTCGTCACGTCAACAATTGAAGTTTCATTGTGACATGCCCAATTACCCTAACAAATACCATTTTCACGAAATGAGACCTAACTGAGGCAAAATGAGGAATGTCCCCCAAATCCTTGTTTTAAATACGCATGCTGTACGCAATGTTCCGTAGGTACTTTATGGACCGCCCCTTAAGGCAAGTTCATACTCGGTGCGAAAGCGAATTTGTGACGTCATGGGGACCTCAAAATTACACAAACGTTCATCCCGAGATAATTGCGTTTGAAGTAATTCATTTTTTCAAAAGACATTTTTGACCACTTCGCAGTAACAGAATTCGGAAATGTTTGCATTGTCCGATAGCTTATGATTTACTCTTTGCTAATTCATAGTTGTTTGTTTAAAACAGTTCTTAACTAAACAGTAATTCATTAATAAAACTTTTTTGCTTTTCGTGAGAACATCAAGACATTGAGTCCCATATTTTGCCCACTACTTTGTACATAGTTTTTGTCACTTCGTGGGAACATGAACCTTTTTTTACTTTTTGTTGACGCAACAAACTTGTTACTTTCACGCGTCATACTACATGTGAGCGTGCGCGTCTGCTCCCATCCAGACTCATGTAGACCGATGTAAAATTCCTCCGGCCCTGCTCACGAGTTAACTTTTTGTCACTTTGTGAGAACATTTTACACTTTCTTACACTTCGTAAAAATGAAAAACACGGATTTTAAGGTTAACAATAATTTAAAAAAAATTGACAATATTTTGCTTTAAATTTGGTCAAATTGTTCCTTGAGACAGCTATAAACAAAAAGCTGGTAAAACTAAAAATCGAACAATTATCGATTTTCAAGGTTTTTGTCACTTCGTAAGCAAAGCGATGATGTTTCAACTCTGCAAATTTCGCAGCGAATGTTTCATGACGTCAAATTCGCTTTGCATCTGCATTCACATAATGTATGAACCGGGCTTAAGATGGAAGTTTATTCTAACTTAAGCAAGCTTGTGAAGTCTTCTGGAAAGCTCTTGAACAGCACTGAATATACAGTGCTTACAAAATGATGTTGGTGAAGGGCATTAACCCAATATGAAAATCCAATTAACAACTCTTTGTTTGCTGTTATTATTTCACTTTCAATCCAGCCATTAACGATTGTGCCTCCAATCCTTGCGTCAACGGTGTGTGCCGAGATGGATTCCTTTCATACACTTGCGACTGCACTGGTACGGATTTCACGGGCACAAACTGCGAAACACGTGAGTGATGTAATCTAACGGTTGGCTTCGGCTCTTGTCAAGTTTAATCTCCAAAAAGTGATTCATAGTTTGTAAATATTTTTTTAGCAATTCAAAAGTGAATCACTTTGGAATGGGACATTGATAGAAAAAAAATGGCCCATGTTTAGTTATTCAATTATTACTTTACAATTTTGAATTCTTTGCTGCCAGACAATAATTCTGTGTGTGTGTGGGGGGGGGGGTGGGCTGGTTTCCACTCTTATCATTGGTACTGATAATGTACGGACGGGGAGCCGGTCTGCTCGCAAAGCAGAACTATTTGTGCCCAAAAAAATGTACAAGTTGAACTTTCTATCAGTAAATAAAATGGAATTTTTTGAAAGGAGAAGGTAATGCTATGATTGCTCCAGCCAATCTTCTGTCACCCAGTCGGTGTATTAGAATGGTCCTGGATCTAACAATGCATTGCTGAGCTCTGGCTTTGTAATATGATATACTGCATACTGTGTTTACCGTGGTTGCAATGCGGGAATTTGGTAGGAGGTATGCTGTGCTCTTGTCATGCTTGTGGTCATGCTCATTCATAATATACATGTACGCCTCTGTGATGCTTTGAGGCACATATCAGTTCCTTGAGGAACCTAGCTAAGATACATCCAAAGACCAAGTTCACCTAAACTAGTAAGCAAAGTTGCATCCAAATTGCCAATTTGGTGGTTGTGCCATTTTTTGTTTTTTGCCGCTTGACAATACGGTTGTTGGAAAGAAATGTGCAAAACCAAGTTTCCCATTTGCGTGCATAAAACACAAACTTTCGCCTGAATTTGTCTGCTCATAAATTTTACACGCCGGCCTACCCAACACAAGATAGCTTTTTATTAATACCCTTATGACTGAACCACTTTCGGGAATGAGGAACATTTTTAGAAACTATCAGTGATCTGAAATTTGCCCATCATATTTTTCTGTCAACGCTTGCCTGCCTGGAACAATTTGCTTGTAAATTTTCTTGAGAAACTGATGCGTAACCTTTAACCCATTATTCTCTATACCACCCCAAATCACCCTGCCTGTTACTCCTTATACCGCCCCAAACCGCCCCATCGCCTTATGGTTGTATGGATTCATCAAGGAGTACATTATATGAGCGCTGATAGGAGTAAATCAATTGTTTTTTGTTTTAACTTTTGACAGAGATTAACGACTGCCCGGTGCCGGACCCATGTGAGAACGGCGGAACTTGTCTGGACGGAAGAACACCCGCCTACTCCTGTCAGTGCCTGCCAGGTTTCAGCGGATTCCTCTGCAATAATGGTAAACATAACAAGGCTGAAAGAAACTAAAGGTGTCAACAGAAAAAAAGGGTGCACAAGAGTCGCTTGCTGCTGTATCCTAACAGCACACCTGCACAGTGCTATACATACATCTAAAGGCATCTATAAGGGACTCATAGCAGACTATTATCACTGCATATTGGAAATCAAAAACCTATGTCTTAAAGCGTAATGTCCATAACCGTCGTTTACAGCACTTGTCTCTCATTATAAATAAATTCAGCTAACATTACATTAACCAAGTCATATTGTACATTATGGCCTAAGTTGGAGTTATAGAAGTAGTAGTAGTAGTAGTAGGCCGTCCTCTCAGGTTATTCCTAGAGACATGAGAGATGGCTGCTGCGTAATGAAAGTCTTCCAGAACTGGCGATTTTGGGCCTTTCTTCCAGCTTCTGTTATAGAGTGGATGCCTCTGGGGCTACAGCTTGTTAGAATGGTGTCCATCCAGCGCGTGGGTGGTTGTCCGCGAGGTCTATTGCCAGCTACGGCTCCTTCCAGGGTGATCTTAGAGTATCTGGAGTTTGGCATCCTTTTGATGTGTCCAAAATAGGATAGCCTTTTTATTTCAATGGTCTGAACTATGTCTAGCTTGATGCCAACTCTTGTCTTTATGGTCTCATTTTAGGCATTGAATGTAACATCCGTAACGATGGAATTGCCCTCAAGTTTAACTTGTAGAGAGTCATCCTTCAAGTAAATTTGAAGAAAAAAGGTTCTGCAGCAAAAATATTGTACCGCCCAAATTGCTTGGTTCCTCTTATTTTACTAAAATCTGACTTATATAATACTAACAAAAAGAAAGATTTTGCTGTCATTATTTACAAGTACATGTAGTTGTAGTCTACTTTTTCATCGAGGTACCTGGCATTAACGAGCTGGTACCGTGCTTGTCCCGCACATGTCATGTACTTGCAGTTGACACCTGTTTGACCAAAAGGGCTATGAATATACATACTGCAACTTAATTGATTAAAGGGTCCATGAGATGAATTTTTCTGAGGAACACATTTTGTGCAACTTTCTACTCTTAAATGTATGAAAACTATTTGACATTCCTTTTTTTGTTAATTTTGTTGAAAGGTGCACTTCTTTAACCCTAACTCCCTAGGGGGTGTGCAAAATTGTATTAAAATTGGAGAATTTAGGACAGTTACGCTATACTTTTTAAATTTGCCATGCTTTTCTGGACAACTGAGGCACTGTTGCTGTGATGTCATTTCAGGAAGACACTGTTCAGTTCAGAGGTTTTCTGTTCAAAATTGTGAACACAAAAAAAATTGCTCGTCGAATAACATTTGTGAGAAAAGTTTGCTCATTGGCTTACTGCCGTGTACTGACAACGAACTACCAAAGAAAAGAAAATTTACAATAGCAAAATGTCCAAAACTCTGGCAACTTTTGGTGCTGAAATAGCTGTAACATTGAGGTTCCTGCCTGAAATGACATCACACTTTTGACATCCACTTTTGCTGATGAATATGAAAGTTGGCATTGGCATCAAAACCAAAAAGACATCAAAACACCCTTGAAAATGGCAAAACGAAAATTGAAAGAAGGTTAAATGGGACACAAAGGTGCATTTTGAAGGATTGCATTAAAAAAATTATATTACATGTGCGACATCACAAAATTGATATACTATGCCAGTAATAGCTTGTCATTATTTTGTTGTCGGATAAGTCTATAGGCCTAATGTGATTCCTTTTATTCTGTGTAGATCCGAACCAGTGTGATTCCAACCCCTGTGTCAACGGCATATGTTTTGATGGCTCCAACATGTACACCTGTATCTGTGATGGCACAGACTTCACAGGCACCAACTGTGAAATACGTAAGTTACCAAAAACCCACACAACACCCAGTATAAATACCCCCCTCAACTGGTACAGAGGGAGAATTTGGGGAGAACACTGGGAGGGACATTCAAGTGCATTGCTTACGATGCCCGAAGCTTTTGCAAAGATGCAACAGGTTTGTGCAGATCAGCTGTATCAAGATTTGACGCGAGTTTTGGTCATGTACACGTTTTATGATGTTCTAAAAAGGACACATTTCTGTCATGATTACATTTTCAAACGTCGCGAAAAGTGAACTGCGGCATTCAAAAAGTAGACCAAAACGTTTGAAAGAATTGTGAACCATGGTCAGTGGTGGTGGTCAAAAGGTAAACCAGGTCTGCAAAAGATGTTCCAAAAGTGAATCACAACTGCCTATAAAGATGGCACGTTGTCCTTTATAGATGTCCAGCCAGTCTCTCCAATATGGCTTCAAATGGCTTTCTGTACGCTACCCAGTCTTTATTCTGAGTTGTACAGATTTCTCATGGGTGGGATAGAATGGGAGTGCTTTGAGGATTGTGGCATTCTTAAAGATATAGTCCATCATTTGTAGTTTGTGCATTTTGTTCGTTTGAAGCAACAAAAGTGTTCAAAATCTAATGAAGGATACTGAACAACTAACATGATGAAGTTTCATCTCAGCTTCAGCTGTATATTCCGAGAAAAAGAGCATTCTAGGATCTCAATTTCAAATCAAAAGTTGCTGAATCATGTTTTGAATTGGGCCTGAATTGCGTCCGAGACCCGTTCTCACTGATCCGATTGCAGCTATACGCGATGTCGCGCACTGATCCGACGAATTATAGCAACTGCGTGCCAATGCTTGCGCGCGCTTCGCCGAATAACAAAACGAACTACTAATTTACATTTTCCTACGGTGCGCCTTAAGACGCACCGTTGGAAAGGCTTTTCGTTGATTACTTCAAAATGACAGCTTGCCAGAAAGAATAATTTCACAGGGAGTTCCCCTTACTATCCTTCAACCAAGTTTGTTTTTCAACAATAATTTTTCGGATGGCTGCAAATGATGGACTATAGCTTTAAGCTTTTTCGCCGGCAATGAAATTGCATTGTATTAATTTTTTGTTACCTGAAGCGTTTGGCAAACAACAAAAATTATGTTTGTATAAAAGAGATTGAGAGTGCATTTAGTTTGGGGCAGTTTAAGCCTTTTTAGACAGTTGTTTGATTTCTATACTATCTGGTCAAACTCTGGACAGAAATTGACAACTGTAGCCCCAACCCATGTCAGAATGGCGGGAGATGTATAGACGGTGTCCTGAGCTCCTCGTGTAGCTGTATGGCAGGGTACCAGGGACTGCTCTGTGAGACGGGTAAGTAACCAAATTGATGTCAGTCCTAATAGTTATGTATTTATTTCTTTATTTATTAGTGTTGTAGTAACTCATACTCGTTCTTGAGTACATGTTTTCGAAATCGCACATGAGGATTTACTTGTGCTTTTACTCGTACTAGCAAGAATGATAATTACCCTTAAATGTCTGGTAGTTGTACTCTTAGAAATATTCTCTGGCTAGAATCAAACAATTTTTCAGAGGTACTTGCAGGAAAAGAACCAATTTTCTACTGTTTGGGATGCTTTTGCCTTTGTCTCATGCCGAGTTTGACTGCAAAAAGTCCCTGAGAACATGTGCACCCATTGAAATGTGCTTGTTCTCCGTGGAAAGTACTCGTACTTGTGGATATGTTTTCATGTACTCATACTCATGGCAAGGAACTCATGCTTGCACTCATACTCATTGCAAATCACTCGCACTTGTATTCATGGAAATGCACTCGACTACAACACTGTCAAAGAGTTGAAAAGCTTATAGCTATTGGCAGTATACCAATAATGAATGTTTATGAGTGCAATGGTAAGAATAATTTCATTCGGTGACAGATGGAATGTTCCTTTGCCTCGTGGAATTTAATTATTCCTTCCTTTGTACGAATGTGAAACGTTCATTTTTTGTTTTGTACAATTGTACAACACCTACATAAATCCTTGTCATCTGATTGGTCCGAGCCACCCATAGTGTGACCGTGCATTGGAACTTCCATTTGCCATGGAATGCAACTTCCATTTTTGCGGTTCAGCAACCATGGGTTGGGACGAATAATTCAATGACGGGGATTTATTCAGGCATCGTATATTGAAGTCCATCGTATTTCAAGTCAACAAGTAGACAGACCAAGAAGCATTATTCTATGTGAAGTTATTTCAAGAAAACTAATAGAGTATGATTTTTTTTTTCTGTAACAGATTAATAATAAACATTGGTAAGACCATGGGCTAGTAGGTCATCTCAACCCTCTTAAATCTGCCCTTTATTACAAATGACTAAACACAAATCAAGACAACATTTCAAGATTTCGTACCACAATTTCGTGGAAATGTTGTTGCCTTTGTCCCCAAAGTGGCATGGGTGGCACAGTGCGTAAAGCACTCGCCTCTCACCGCTGTGGCCCGGGTTCGATTCCCGGCTCGGGTCATATGTGAGTAGAGTTGATTGTTGATTCTCTCCTGTACAGGGGGGGTCAGAATGATCTGGATCCAAATTAAAGAAAATATAAAAAATATGTAGCAGTTATCAAAACAAGTGAAAATGAGATATGTTATAGGCTGGTATTTTGGACCACGAGGGTTTTACTTTGGGTTCTCCAGTTTTTCTCCGCAAAAATTAACACTTTCGATCTGGCTGTGCTCCGGAGTAAGTCATGGGTCATGAGGCGGCTGCCTAAGGCGCCTTTACATGCATTCGGCTTGACCACATTGTACCGGTAGCTGCGTCCCTCACAATTCAGCTTCTCAGCTGCAAGTAAGGACAATAGCCCCCTCCCTCCCAATGTGTTTGAGGTATTGTCCAGTTGTGGTATGCCCATAAAATTAATACTGATGTTGTTGTGTTTAGATGTGAATGAGTGCATCTCCAATCCATGTGAGAATGGAGGTGCATGTCAGGACCTGGTCAATGCCTACTTGTGCAGCTGTCTGTCAGGATTCCTTGGGCCAACGTGCTCTGTCAGTGAGTATCCTTAGATATCTGCACTAGTTACCTGAATGCATGCTACAAACTTTTCTCCGAACTTTAAGCGGATTTTCAAACCTTTGTGGAATTTGCTCTGGTTTGGGCTTCAGATTTTGTCCCACTTTTTGGACACCACCATGTTCACTCGAGGGCTCATAAGTTATATCGCAAATTTAGGAAGGTGATAGCACATGTACCATTACTTAAACGACACATAGGAACATTTTCAATTACTTGCACACATACCTACCAATTTAACAAGAAAATCCTTCTTCAAAGTGAAGATGACTGGTATACCAAAAAATGCACAAAATGCAAATGATATAACTGACCGAGCCTAAAGCTTTTCAACAAAGCAGTTTGGCAGCCTTATACTTGGAAGAGAATTAGGGGAAAACAGTTCAAGTGCACCAGTTTAAAGGACACCATGTAACAAATTGTTCCAGCAGTATACAAGGACAGGCTTTTAAGAGGAGTCCTCTCTCTCTCTCTTCAACTCTGTAATTTGTGTTCAGATCCTGATGATTGTGCGGCCAACCCATCTGTGATCAAGTGTCTGAATGGAGGCACCTGCCAGGATGCAGTCAATGGATTCACCTGCCTCTGCCCAGCCTTCTTCTCTGGTGATCGCTGTGAAAACAGTAAGTGGAAACAAATCTGTCAAGCAGTTTGTGGCGCTCTGGAAAAGGCATTGATTTTGCTCTGATTTTTCAGAGCCTTTGTTGGTTTGTTTTCTTTTTCTGAATGTCAAATATGTTGTACACATGTTTTTCTACCTGGCACTTTGGTCACATCATCAGGACATATCTTGATGAAACTTGGTCTAAACAAAGACCTTTATGGTCTGAAAACAATAATGTTGTAATTACTTCATCACAGCTATCTTGACTACATGTTTAAGTAGGGCTGTCCATCATATGCTGAAATGCTCAAAAACTCAATCAATTTTATATCATGATGACATCATGATGACATCATGATTTTCTTTTTGAGTTTGCCCCAATAAGGCTCATCCCAAGAGCAACTCTTTACACATTTTGGATTATATACGGGCCGACAATACTTCAGGCGTATCTTTTTGTGCATTATATTCCCAAAAGCAACCCCAAACAAAAGCACATTTTCAGTGGATTGAAAACGTCCCAAAAAAGCAATGGTTGCGTTTTCCATTTAAATATTGAAATTTTGTCAGGAGAAAAATATCCAATATGTAGAAGAGCATAGGTAGACCAATTTTAAGAACATACCTGAATTTGAGACCATTCATCCAAAAACCCCTACGGGAGGTCAGATATTTGTTGTCACTTTAATTGACTTTTGATTTTTATTCTTCTTCAGATGACAATGAATGCGCTTCCAACCCTTGTGTGTTTGGTTTCTGTGTCGATGGCGACAACCGATTTGATTGTAATTGTTTCCCTGGATACCAAGGAACCTTTTGTGAAACAAGTAAGTGGAGCACTGCCGGGGGGGGGGGGGGGGGGGGCGCATGGTGCTTGTGTTCTAGGGCAAGACACTTTACTACAATGGCCTCTCTCCACCAAGAGTATAATTTTTTTCAATGAGTTCCTGTGAGGGTAGAGGCTAGTTTGCGCTGCACTCGAGCTGCTGCTGAGAAATTGTCTCATGGCCTGATGAACAGGGGTAATAATTAGCACTTTGTATCTGTTGGCAAAGGCACTTATAATAATTGTTTTATTTGTATTATTAAGTCAACTTAAGTTTCTTTATATTATGTCGGAATCTTGTATGAAAAATCACTCGGGTCATCAAAGCTTATCACATTTGTACTGTGCATATGCACACACGCACAGAGTGTGCCAAAAAACTGCAACACTCAGAAAACGAATAATTAAAACTGTTTAATGTTTCGTTTCTTCAATGAAATGATATATTACATTAAAGCCTGACTATTTCTCAATCCACTCCTTTTTACCCCATTCCATTTGGGTCCTAAGATCCAGAAATACAATGAATTAAGTGAAAGGATGTCAATTTTACTTGGGCCACTCTCACCTGGACATGCTGAATATGGATTAAGCATTGAATAGGCATTGAGGTTGGTGACATCACAGGTGAGAGTAGCCCAAGTACAATGTACACCCTTTCACTTAATTGATTGTATTTCTGGATCCAGGTGGAATGGGGTAAAAAGAAGTGTACTGAGAAATACTCAGGCTTTAATGTAATATATAACTTCATTGAAGAAAAAACATCAAACAGTTTTAATTATTTGTTTTCCCAATGCTGCACTTTTTTGGCACACTCTTTATGCATTATATATTGGCCTCTGGGTGTTGTAGCAGGCAGTAGTGTCAGTTAAAACAAAAATAATTATATCAGCTTTTTAATTGACTTTTCGTTGTTTAACTTTTGTAAAAATAAGTAATTTGGGTTTCAAATCTCTTTCCCTTTAATGTTGTTCCTATTTTCATTTTTCATTTCTTTGATGGTTGCAAACTATTTGATTTTGTGTTGTTTATTTGTGGTTTAATTTTGCAGACACGAATGAGTGTGTGAGCACTCCATGCCAGCACAATGGCCAGTGCATTGACATGGTCAACTTCTACCGCTGTGAATGCACCGCAAATTTCCAGGGAGTTCACTGCGAAACACGTGGGTAGACTCATTTAAAAAGTGAAATTAGGAATTCGTTTACTTAAAAGTAGGCTTATTTGCAGCATCGTTTTGTTTGTTTCCAATAATAACATCCCTCAAAATCCAAAAATGTTCAAACCTAACCTGTTGAAGTTGCAGCTCAGTGGATGTTACACTCTTCGAGAAAAACAGTGAAAACCATGCACAACATTTTGATCATGAAACATGATTTCATCAAAAGCACTCCATATTTCCAAAAAGCAGTCAGTTGACTGATTGTTGAAAATCACCTACATTTCTTGATTTCTTCTTAATGACAGCAAGCCAGACAGAATAATTTCACCAGGGTGTATAGTACCAGAACAATCATTACTCCACGCAAGCTTTTTTATAATATTTCGGTAGGTTACTTTTGGGATAAATGCAAATGATCTTATATGCATTTTAAAACATTGGTTGGTTTCTCAACAAAGTTGCCAAAATGGCATTGTTTACGTTCAGTTTTGATTTGCTCTTGTTCTTCTTTCCCAAATGCAATAGACTTTGTTTCGTTTCGGTATGTGCCGCCTTGAACATTGAACATAGTCATTTCTCAATGAAACTTAACACAGACAAAGACCACATAGTCAAGTCTTGTCTTGCTTTGTCTCTGTCCTGCAGCAATGTCGGCGGACGTGGTGATAACAGACATGGCACCGAACCGGGTCCAAGGCAGCTTCACGGACATCATGGCCAACGACCCCCAGTCCACGTATCGTGTCAAGGTCACCGACCCCCAGGGTCAGACGGTGCGGGAAGTGGATTACACCGCGGCCGACGTGGTCAACGGCATGGTCAATTTCGACATTGACGGCCTGTCACCGGGAACAGACTACACCCTGGACCTGTCGGTGACCGACGGCAATGGCCAGACATTTATTCTGGACTCGCTGAACACGCGGACAACAAGTAAGTCTCCTGAATGGATTGGACAGTAGTTGATGGAATTTGGCAATTGTTGTTGTGAGGGTTCCTTTGGAAACTGGTTTTGTAATTGAAGTGGACTACCCTCGTGAATATTACGATAAATAGCAAAATTAGAAAAAGATGGCAACTTGCGTCACCTAAATGTAGCCGGTGCGGGATTAAGTGTTCCATAGGCCCTAGGCATTAGTGTTCTGTAGGTCCCACTCTGCCCTAGGCACCGGTACCAAATTCATGTTGATGCCTAATTGACCAATCGCCATTTGTTAGTTAGACAACCCTATGGAATTTTGTACATTACGTTTTGTTTGTCTCAGATTTCGCATGTTCAGCGTCCATTTGTATATCATGTAATGGACAGTATTTCACAAGCCATCAGCTGCAATGGCGCTATTCTGCCGCAATAGGTCAATAGCTGTACAAAGCAAACCAGGCCAAACCAGGCTCTTTAACCTATTGGCACCGTACATTACATGTAAATCTTTTACATACATGTACATGCAGCTACGTCAGTGTCAATGTTGAAATACTGGAGGTACAGTTTTCCTTCCTCCATGGTGAAATCAAATTCTGAGAGAGACACTAAAACTGCTGAAAACTTTTCGGGTGTGCTTGGGTGTTGGTTTGGTTTTATGTATTTTATGGCACATTGCACTATTTTCACAGGCCCTCAAATTTTTTGTAGGCCCCCAATTTTTTGTAGGCCCCCAATTTTCCGTAGGCCCCCAAATTTGTGTAGGCCCTAAGCATAGTGCCACAGTGAAGTGCATTTTTATTTGGTTTTCTTGGCAGCCATTTGCAACACAAACATCTGCTTGAATGGAGGCACCTGCCGTGAGGTAGCCTCAGCGCTAGGCTACGAGTGCGACTGCCCAGTTGGCTTTGAAGGCACTAGGTGTGAATCCGGTGAGTTAGAAAAATCAATATTGGCCCGTAGCATTGTCCAGATGAAATTCAGACTGTACGATAGCTGGTTATCTTCAGCAACTTAAAAATAAACCTGCGCTTTGGTGCATTTTAGTCTTTTACTTTTCTTAAATGTTTTAAATATATATTGAATGTTATCTCTTCATGTTTTTTTTTAAATATTGTAATAAATTGTTGCAATTCAGTTTTTTGCTGTGATGACAATTTTTAAGACAATTTTTAATAAACCTTTTATGAATGAATGAATGAATGAATAAGTGCCATTGTCCATTGGTTATTGTGGCAAACTCATGTGCTCGCGTTCTTAGGCAAGATATTTTATTACAATTGGCTCTCTCCACACTAGGAGTATAAATTGGTACCCGGGACGGTACAGAACATATTGTACTGAACTCAAAATGCTGCCTTAGACTGACTTCAAACTATGATTGCAAACAATGATTTGTCAAACCATGTTATAGTTGTACATTGTTTTAAGTAGCATCTACATATAGCAGCAAAGAAATATACTCTTTCTTTCCCTAGTGATATATCACCTATATTCCTTTCTGCAATCCCAGAGCATTATAAATGATAAAATATTAAATTTTAATCCGAAACAGATATCGATGAATGCCGGAGTTCGCCATGTCAGAACAGTGGCAACTGCCAGAATCTGCAGGGTCAGTTTCGTTGCAACTGCGTGGGACCTTGGACCGGCCCTTTCTGCAATGTCCGTGAGTACCAGTCTAAGGAAGTTTAGATCTTGTTGGTTTTGCAATCCATGATGACAATTGGCTTCCCGATGGCTCTGTTCCCATGCTGTTGAGAGTGCTCTTTGGCTCTGAAATTGCTTGTACCAGGGGTGCTGGTACCAGGGGTGCTAGTACCAGGGGTGCTAGTACTAGGGGTGCTAGTACCAGGGGTGCTAGTACCAGGGGTGCTAGTACCAGGGGTGCTAGTACCAGGGGTGCTAGAACCAGGGGTGCTGGTAAAGCAACGTCATTAGATGGTTCATCAATGAGCACAACCACTTCAAAGAGCTTCTAGGCATACAAATATGGGCAATTTCATCGTTACTGATGTTACATTTAGAGCCTAAAACTAATTTAAAAAAGTAAAATACTTGCAAATGTGTTATATCTGGTACAACTCTAGCTTAGGCCATAGTGTACAACATGACATGGTTAATGTAATGTTTGATGAGGTATACATGTGAGTGCCGTAAAGGACTGTTACGTATACGCTTGAAGACATAGACTTTTGGATTTTCAATACGCAGTGATAATGTCTGTAGAGTTTCTTGCAGTGATTTAATGAAATAACTATGTTGTGGTAGATATAGGTTCACTCTATGAAAACACCGTTTACATGTTACAAAAAAGGAACTTCATGCTTTTGCTGTTACAGACGTTACACTATAACATTACGGATGTTATGTGTCTGAAATCAACTTCCAACATGTGATAAAAAACATACTGAATCATGCTATTCTATGAGCTGTGTCACATTTTCATAAGATATGTACCTTTCTCCTTGTCTTAAAAACAAAAACTCTTAATAACACTTGCATTTTGCATGTGCAAACAAGATGCCAAAATGACTACCTAAAATTCTAATAATGTTAGCCCCTAAAACATTTTTTGGACAAAAAGTACATTGTTTTTCACTGGCACACCACTCAAATGAAAGGTCCTGCCGTCCCATTTTGATACCACATTTGAGGTTGTTCTGAATGTTTAATATATTTTTAACTTTTTAGCCTATCCACTTTGGGTGGAATTGCCCATATGCTTTTAGCACAGAAAGAATTGTGCTACTCGGCAACTTTAATCAAGGTGCTTTCCTACTAGAAACCTTGTTTAATTAGTTAAATTCATTCCTAAACAGACTAGCTCCCCAAACACCAAAATATCCTTCAATGGGCATTCATTCCTAAACCCTAATACGACAGATTCCAAAATGGGTAATCGTTTCTAAACAGATCACCTACCAAAATGACACAGATTCTCAAATGGGCATTGATTCCTAAATGGTCCCAAAACTCTCCCTGTTTTCCATCTGAATTGCAGCCCTAGCTGTCAACTTCAACGCGGGCGATTCCACCACTGAGTCTGTGCAGGTCATCTGGGACCAACCCACGGGCACCCAAGTACCCAACTACGTGGTCACCCTGGAGAACTTTGGGGGCGGGGTCCTGACCACGGCGACCGTGCCATCCACGGACGTCGTCAATGGCCTACTGGACTTCACGTTCCATGCGCCTCAGCCGGGCACCAACTACGTGTCCAGACTCTATGCACTGTTGGATGACGGCACTCGCTGGCCATTGGCGACCCTGACTACCAGTTCTGGTGGTAAGTAAAATTTGGAAATCCTACACCTTAAGAAATTGACTGAACCTATGTTGGTGGTTCCCCATTTTGTCAATGTCTTTATTCAAGGGGTGCCCGTCAGAAGTCAAGAACCTGTATAGACCATTTAGCCAGGGATCATGCCCAAAGCCACAATGCTAGCAATAAATAATATTTTGTTAATATTTTAGCAAAAAGTAATTGCATTTCATTCACACATTTCCCAACATTTCAACGGAAGCCCTATTTTAAAATGGGACCTTGTATTAAGGGGAATGTACAACATTTGCTTTTGCTGCAATTTTCAGAAATAAATGGATTTGGAGGATTATTATTGGATTAAGTGATGGCTTGTGTAACATATATAATTTACAAAGCATTAAATGCACATTAGAATTTGATTACATCTCAAGCTTTTATACTTTTTTCACCAACTCACAACCATCTATTATGTGGAACATACATAGAAATTGTATACAACTTATTGTGTTTGATTTTTTCAATATGGGTGTATTTGCTTTTAGTGAAAAAAATAAGTGTTAAAGTATTGTCCAGTACTATTATGGTTAGGAATTATCTGACTACTTGAAGAGTTTATTTCCAAAACATGATATATCCATTTCAAAAAAGTAAAACTGTTTCATAGTTATAGTTATCAACTGTTTCATTATATAGTTATCATACATTGTATAACATTTTAGAGCAGTATTACAGCTGTTTCTAAACTACATTTTATGATTTATTGTATTGTCAAATTGTGTATAACTGTTTACCAGCCATGGAAACTGACTCTGGGCAGCCAGTAAAGGGCAGGATTCTAACAGGTACAAAATGATGTTTATTGCATTTTGGAAAACAAACTCTTCACTTCATTTTATCGTCTTTGTTCACTGTAATTTTCTATCAGCAATATGTACGACTGGTCCCTGTGAGAATGGAGGAACCTGCATTGATGCCGCTGGTACCCCGCTAGGCTATCGCTGCTTCTGTGTTGCCGGCTATGAAGGCGACAACTGTCAAATTGGTGAGTTGAAATAAAGAAGGAAATGACAGAGAAAGGGAGCCCTCTTGTGGTTAGTAAACCCTTTAGTAGGTAGAATGGGCTCTGTGCGCGAATGGAGAGGGCGCTTTTTGACCAGTTTTGAGAGCCCAGTGGACAGCACACACTGCGTGCACATAGTGGCTTGATATGGTTGACTTGTGATGTAACCTACACCTGTCACATTAAACCTGACTATCTCTAGTCTAAAGAAACCTTTTCAACATTGTGGCTCCCTGCTGTACATAACAATATCGTGTGGCTATTGGTAACCAGCAATACCACTAACCTCAGTAGACTGGTCCTGAACTGTCAACTAGAGTCCCAATTATACAACACCTGAATAAATCCCCGTCATCTGATTGGTGGGTCGTTGATCACGTGTCGTTGAATTATTCGTCCCAACCAACGGCCCGGCCGGACCACCAAAATAGAAGTTCCTTTCCATGGGAAATGGAAGTTCCATTGCACGGTCACAGTTTTGGCTGCTCTGACCAATCAGATGATGAGGTTTTATTCAGGTGTTGTACAAAACAAATAATGAATGTTTCACATTCGTGCAATGGAAAGAATAACTTTATTCGGTGACTGATGGAATGTTCCATCTTTTCTTCCCATTGCACTCATAAACATTCATTATTTGTATACATGTAGTGCAGTCGACTTGCTTGGGTTCCAGTGAAGTTAAGTCAAACAATTGTCAACCCTAGTTTTTTTTCCGAGCCTATCATATCTACTTGGTTTTGTTTAATATGACTAGATTCATTGACAAGAAAAGCTGTTGTTGGATGTTGTGGGCACGATGGGAAAAGTCAATACAATTACAACTGAGCTATCCAGCCCTATGTCAGCGGTTCCCCAATTCATCAATATCTTTGTTCAAGGGGCGCTAGTCAGAAGCCATGAGCCCCTAAATAAATGCCATGCAGCCAGGGATCACGCCCAAAGTCACGATGCAGACCTGAAAATATAGCAAATGGAGATCACAAGCATGATCGTGGCCAATACAGTTTGTATTAGCTTGAGCTCTGTCCACCTGGGTAAGAAGATTCTGATGTGACTGTTATGTAAATGATGGGTTTTTTTTCCATGTAGAAATCAATGAGTGCTTGAGCAACCCATGTAAGAACAACGCACAATGTGTGAACGCTGTGAATGCATTCTCCTGTGTCTGCACTATTGGTTGGATGGGAGTCTTGTGTAACATCCGTAAGTTCACCTTTCACTTTGATTTGATAAAGATTCCGTTGATGTGACATCTACATAATTATTGTAACGTTTCAATGGAAATTCGTCAAAATCCCTTTATTAACTGTCCCAAATGCTAAAATGATATCCAAATTTCAACAATGGGACCTTGTGTTAATCTGCCTTTCAGTTTTACTTAACAAAGATGAAGATGAAAATCTGTTTTATATTCAATGTGTCTCCGCTCTTGGACTTTGTAAGGCGATCCGACGCGTAGCTCATTATTATTTTTCATAACTTTGTTTACTGCTTAAAGGTATAAATGTTTTATGTACTGATTCATCTGATTTTGTGTAATAGCATGCGTGATACAAGCTATGCTTTCAAGGTTTTGCCACCTTTACTGGCCTTTATGTTTTAACAAATACTTGTATTTTTTTTTTTTCATTTCTGCCATTAACATGAAATGTGTGTTTGTACGTACGTAAAGAATCATATGTGTCTGTGAATGTATGTAACTTACAAAGCCTAAGAAGCACCGTAGTGCTTGATCCTATTCCAGGAAGATCACTTTGTACATTTTTTAATAACCAGCAAACTACAGTTTGGTTACTGAAATTCAAAAATAACCACGTTTTCAATATAGGCCTACCTCTCTAAGATAATATCAAGTGTTTCAGACTTTGGCAGTTTGCAGGAAATTGGTAACTTTATCTACTGTGGTGAGGCTTTGCATCCTATAAATGCCTATATTTTGGCTCTTGGAAACCTTTGAAATTCTACATTTTGATTTTTGAAACCTATTAAAAAACCTTTATTGATGAAGAGGGGCACTGTGAAGCTTGGTGTACCTTTAATTTTCTTTAGATGGTGCAGGACAGTTTTTCTTAACATTTATTAAGTTAAGCACGTGTTTCATATCCTTGTAGCCACTTCCAACCTGTTCATGCTTGGCGAGGTCACCACAAACACAGTGGAGGTCAACTGGCCCAGCATCGAGGTGGACGGCACCGACTTCATCTATGAGGTAGAGGTGACGGACCCCAACGGCGTCTCAGGCACCATTCAAATCCCACAGGTACCCAACGCAGGCCCAAACTATGTCTACAACCAACTGATTACCGGCCTGCAGCCCTCCACTCAGTACCAGATCCGACTGATAGTCAGAGCTGATGGGACTCCATATGTTGTGGGCACCCAAGTGCCTACCACCAAAAGTAAGAAATTGCAGGGGTTACTTTTCCTCATGTAGTTTTGAAGTGATAGTTGCATGCATATGGCATAAAGCTCAATAAAGGTGTTTGCCAGTCTAGTGTGGTAGTTAAGTACTTTTATCCAAGTCCAAAGTACTGCCGAATACCAAGCTATCGAGGACCAGTCTTATCTGAGTGCTTTGACTAATTGAGAACGAGTACAGCTAACCAAGTCCAATTACTTGGACTCTGAGTACAAGTACGAGTAGGCTACTTTATTGAGAAATCAAGCGAAAACAACTAAAATCCCAAGTAATGGGATCCCACACAGATGCCGGTAGCATATTTCACATAAAGATTAAAGGATGTTGTCTGTGCATATACCAACGCAAAGGAAATTGATCCTCTCCACAGCCTGGTACTATTCAGCATTAGTGTCAATAAACAAAGCATGCGCGTCTCCCAGTAAGGAGATTTTTTATTTCAAAACTAAATTACCCAATTGTTCTCTCAGTCTTTATAATCGGGTACGAGTACTTTGATGATGGGTACGATTTTGAATAGTTCGGTCTAAGTACTTTGCTTCTTGACTACGAGTTCCGTGAATTTGAGTCTGGGTATTCTGATATTCGAGTATTAGACCGAGTACGTAGGTCGTATGTGTTTGAATTGAAGTACACCCAACCAATTTTCATCTGAATGTGCGCACACCCTGTCATTTCACATGGGCTTCAGGCATACTGTGATGATGCATTCAAAAGTCCAGTGGCAGACCTAAGGAGGAGGATTTAACCCCCCCTCCCCCAGCCGCTGACTAATGTAATGTTGCAAGTAAAATGAGGCCAAAAGTAATAAATGCTAAACAATTTAAATAATGGAATGTTTCTGAACAATTTGCCTCCATTTAAAAGGAAAAGTCACGGCTTTAGGATTAATAGGCGTTTGCTTTTAAAGGATTGGGGAAGGTTTTCTAATCATCTTCACTGAGCTTATGAACAGATGTATTAGTTTTTTTCAATATGTGTTAAATTTTATTTATTAACCATTCCGACATTTTAGTTCAATCTTCTTGGTAGGGGTTTTCAATTTGTTTCCATTCACTGACTGATGATGTCATTTTTTACTTCTTTGCTTAATTCTTTTGTTAACTCTAGATATATTTTTACTATGTAGATCTTTGTTTAATTCTTTTGATAATTCTAGAGATATTTTTACTATGTAAATCTATCAACCAAACTCCTTCTTTATTATAAATGTATCATTGTTTCTGTTTTCCCAGTGATGTTGCAATTATGATGAATTGAAAAGTATAACTCATTTGAATTTTTGTTGATATCAGGTGTGTGCACGGATCGTCAGCCCTGCCAGAATCAAGGATTCTGCATCCCGGACACCAGTGCCACGGAAGGTTATACCTGTCTGTGCCCTGACGGCTGGGCTGGTCTCAACTGTCACGAAGGTACTCCAAACACACTGCCTCCACATGTTCACATTTGCTGGGATTGGGACTAGACAGATTCCAGAGGCACATGTGTGATAGACTGATACACTAAGCCCCATCTCGTGATGCTTTGACCAATGACAGCCAAGATTAATGTCCGACATGGGTGCACAAAACGTCACTCACACCACGAAGTAACGCCCAGGTCCACTCCAGTGTTACTTCGTGAAAGCCACTACATGACAAATTTTGGTTTCGCGAAGTAACACTCAAGTGTGCGTGCGCACATCGGACATTGGCGTGAACGATTTTCGTTTTCACAAAGTTACAACACTGTTAGAGAAATACAATGTGGATAAAAACGTTTCAAACGTTTGACAGGAATGTAGTTAATCAGTATTCTTGTGGGATTACAGAAACAATTAAATAAAAACCTTTAAACTGATGAAATACAGATGGGTGCTACTTTGTGAAAAAGAAAAATTACCGAGTGAGCGGACAGTGTACTTGGGTATTACCTCAAGAAAATGAAAATCACTCTGTTCTGTAAAATACGCATGCATAGCGCGCACACAAATCCACTCGGGAGTTACTTTGTGGTGTTCGCGTGAAGTATGAACCTGCCTATAGGCTAATATTTTTCAAATGTTGCTGAAGTGGTATGTTCCATGGTGAAACACATGTTGCAAGCGTTCATAAGGTCGGTTCATGCTTAAGGCAGAAACAGAAGCGAAGCAATTTTCATGCTGCCATAAACTGAACTTTCATTGTGACGTTCACAGGTACCCGAACAAATTCACTTCTCACTGAAATTACGCATAACGCATGAACCCACTGTTACACCAGTACATCCAGTCTAGAAATAGAGACGCAGAACCGTTTCCATTTTACAGTAAAAAAAAAAGTTTGTTCCAGAATACAGAGGCAATCCAGTATCTGCACCTAATGAAAGAGGCTAGTATTGGGAATGTTGAAGGAACAAATGTTAGCCATTTTGCTCTTTTTACCTCTTTCTTTTCAGATTTTCTGGAATGCGCTAGTGGTCCCTGCAGGAATGGTGGTCAGTGCATGGAGCAGGTCCTGGGCTATAACTGTGTGTGTACTCCACAGTACCAGGGACTGCACTGCCAAGTGGGTAAGAGAATGCTCGTTTGTACTCTTGGGTTCAGATCAGGCAAGTGGTTTGCAAAAAATAAACCCACCAAAAAACCTGTTGAGAACTGTTAACAACTGAAGCCATTGCAAGAAATGGCTTCTTTACTATTTGTTTAAAAAAAAAACCTTCCAACATATATTCTTCTCAAAATCACTAAAAAAAATTCCTAGGGATAGTCCTGAAATCAATCATTCGATCAATCTTTTGGTTATTGATCATCCGATCATTCATCTGGTTAAATTTAGAATTGAAAAAAAAAATAAAAAATGAGAATTGTACAGACAACTCTAGCCTTATAACTTGAAGTTTTGATTAACAAAAAAATGTCTGCAACTTTACATAATGAAAATGCAGTGGAACGTAATACACATGGAACAACTCAATGCAAGGAAACCTGGCATCAGTTTTTGAATCTTGAAAATCCTGTCAGTGCCACCGAAAAGAAGCAAAATCTCAGTAAAAGTATACAGACTAGTTAAAAAACAGTCAGATTACAGATCGTGTAAACGCTGTGACTAATCAAATTTCCATCAACAGACCAAAGAGGTAACTGGTAGGTGCAGCTGGCATATCAGTCACCTCCTGTCAAAGCATGGCTATCCGGTTCGTTAGTGTGACGTCACCTCAATTCAACCATGTGTTCTTCACACGGTGTAGCATAGCGCGAATGGAACTGCAAGCTCACGCATCTCGAGCGTTTATCCAATGGGCGCTAGTAATCAGAGCGCGCGCGTGTATCATGACGTTTTTACTAACGAACCGGAACGAACAAGGGAATTCTTAATTGTTAAAAAAAACCAGTCGCTTGATTGATTTTGACTGCTATGATGGGGTGGCTGAATTTGCTGGCCAGGGAGGGAGGATTTCAATGATACGTGTGGGCAATAAGTCAAGTCTCCATGGTGGATTTTTCATTTGCCATCACATTACCACTACAGCTTATTCTACTAACCTTTTAGTCGTTCTGATTCAAGTGAAAGAATATTGTGCACTCTAGGGCCAGCTTTTTTTATGACCATCAAGTTGCATATCTGGTAAAAGTAAAGATGAAATTCTTTCGTCTTGAAAACTTTGAGTCTCATTTAGTGTCGCCCATCTTTGCTTTTCTCACTTAAACAAAGCAGGAAATAACCTGACAGTGATTTGCATGATGCAAACCACGACATCACTTATCATTTTGTATCAACGTTTCGCCTTTCTTTCCTCCCCCAAAACAACAAAGCTGTTACCAACACCCTGACAGTGACCGGCGTGACCCCCACCACAGCACAGCTGACCTTCCCTCCACTCAACGATGCTACGGCGCAACTCTACTTCCTTACAGTCCGTGAGGATGCCACTGGACAGGAGCTCACCGTCACTCTATCCCCGGACCAGGCCCAAAATGGCTTCATCGTTCAAGACTTCGTCAGCCTGACGCCCACCACCAAGTACACAGCCTACCTGTCGGTGCTCATGAATGGGGAACCAGCTAATCTCAACCTTGGTCAACGTGACGTCACCACCTTAAGTAAAGCTGAACAAAATTATTTTTCTTGTGGGTCTTGAGTACTAATGAATTATGATTTTGGCTCTGGAAGTCTCATTTGGGTGGTACGGGTAGCGCAGTGCATAAAGCGCTTGCCTCTCACCGCTATGGCCCGGGTTTGATTCCTGGCTCGGGTCATATGTGAGTAGAGTTGTTTGATGATTCTCTCCTGTGCCACAAGGGTTTTACTCCGGGTTTTTCGGTTTTCCTTCCTCCACAAAAAATCAACACTTTGGATCTGGCTGCGCTCTGTGGACAGACATGGGTTGTATGGCAGCTGTCTATTAAAGGCGCCTTTACATGCCTTCAACTTGACCACGTTGTAGCTGTGTCCTTCGCAATTCAGCTTCTGCTGAGAGCTAAGGATGATTAGCCTCCCTCCTCCATTTTACTGGTAGTGCATCCAGTGAAACATTGATATCATTTTTTAGACATTGCCAATGACTTCCACTGTGTTTGGATGCACGTACGTTAAACCTGAAAATTGTTCATACAAAAATTGTTTGTCTTATGAGACATCATAATATCCTGGCCTGCTGGAGATTAACAATATGTAGTGGGGTATCATTGATTATTACATTGTGTTATTATGTTGTTTATCTAAGTTGGTTAACATTGTCAATGTTTGATTGTCCAGAGGCCTATTTCATTAAGCGACTAAGCAGAAACAAATTTGCCAACCACATTTATGTGCACATATTTTCACGCTTAGCAGTTCTTGAAATTGACCCCTGGTTTAAAAGGCAGATGTCAAGTATATTTGCTGATAACTTTTTTTGCCTGAATAAATTAACCCTAACCTCACCTAAAGCTACGAAGTAACCTGTAGTATGCATTTCTTTCCATACAAGTGTGCACAACACATGTAGTATTCTGGGGTATTGGGTCCTTGACCCCCAAAGAGCCCTTAGGACGTTAGGGTTAAAGTAGTATTCCTCAATAACATTATTCTATTTCTTTTCAGACATTTGTGACTTCATCACATGCCAGAACGGTGGCACCTGCGTTCCAGACAACACTCTGGCGCTGTTCTACCGCTGTGACTGTCTGCCTGGCTTCAGTGGCCAGTTCTGCGGGGGAGGTAGGTTCCAATGTATAAATAGCAGAAGCCACATGCTGGCTTCTGCTTCCTGGTTCATTTTTCAAAGGCCTATATCCACAGAACTACAGGTCTGATTGGGTTAAACTTGGTGTCACATAGCCAGGGACTTGTTATAGGCCAAAATGGAAATGATATTGTGATGACATCATCATGTGGTTTTTAAACCTTTTTGTAATTTTTCAACATTTAACTGATGTCTTGCAAACAAAACATGCTGAATTCAAATTTTTGCTTTTGTTTTGCCTGTGGGAGGTCATACATATCGACGATGTTTTCACGAAGTGACCAAAGCCTGTAAATCAAGTTTTGCTGGCCAATTGATTGCACTTGACAAAAAGAACAATTTGACCAAGTTTCAAAGCGAAATGTTGTTTACTTTTGTAATTATCGTAAACAAACATTTGACAAAAAGCCTGAACTCCGTGTTTTTCTGTTTTCACAAAGTGACAAAAGCTTACTTCGTTAGCAGGGCCAGAGGGATAACGCATCTCTGTACACACGCGTTAGGATGGGAGCAGACGAGCGCGCCGTGAACGATGTCAATAAAGAACAGTCGCGCGCACTGCAGTGACGAATGATGTGCAAATGTAACAATTTCTCACAACATTTTATTTTTTTCATGAAGTGACGAAGAATGTGTACAAAGTAATGGGGAAAAAAATAGAGGCCTCTGCTCATTGCTAATTTCACGAAGTGAAGAATATCTTTATTAATAAATTACTGTGTAGTTAAGAGAGACTTTAACAAACAACTTTGAGTTAGCAAAGAACAAAGCATACGTTACTTGACAATGCACAAAATTACCCAAATCAATAACTACAAACTAGTCGAAAGTGAGTTTTGAAAAAAAGGATTAACGCCAAATGCTATTATCTCGGGATGACCTTTTTACAGGGTATTGAGGTGTTTTTTTCACTTTGTGAAAACACCATCAATATGTGCACAGAATTCTGAAAAAAATATGATGTCATCATGGCGTCATCAAAATGCCATTTAAAAAATATATACACATGTAGGTGACATTGCAATTCTACTGTCCACTGTCAGCTTATTTATTTTCAAACCTTCACTCCATCATTGATACAAACAAATTTTAAAAAAAGAAATCAAAACAGCCCTGTGTTTGTCCACTTGATGGAATGCATATAAATATGTCTAGTTTATTGTATAGCTCTTAATGGCAAATGGAAAACTTTTTTGTAAATAACTATCTGTATCTTGCTGTATAGATGTTAATAACTGTGCGGACCAGCCCTGTCTGAATGGTGGTATGTGTGTGGACAGGCAGGGAGGGTTTACCTGTAACTGTGCAGACGGCTACACTGGCCTGACCTGTAACATACGTAAGTATCTGATGACTTGGTTGGTCATCACTAGCAGTTTGGCTGTAAAGCCTGAAATGTGAAAACCAGCTAAACGTTATACATTTAACAATTGTTGACTGCTGTGATGTGGGGCACATAACACCCAAGGCAAAGCCCAGAGTGCTCAGGAATGTTCAAAGCCCCACCTGTTGAAGTTTTAGCACAATGGATATTACACTTTGCAAGAAAACATTGAAAAATCGTGCACAAAACTCGATGTCTTCTGTAAAACTCTTCATTTCCAAAAATCAGTGAATTGACTGATTGTTGGAAAATGCCTGTAGACACTTCTTGATTTCTTTTAAAGTGACAGCAAGCTAGATGGAATAGTTTCACTAGGTTTTTAGCACCAGTTTAAGGTAGAGTAGATCATTTGTGGCTTTCCAAAAAGTAACTGACCAAATTATTGTTAAAAAGCTTACTTGGTTTAACTATAGTAATGGCACTTAACTCCCTGTGAAATTATTCCTTCTGGCAAGCTGTCATTTTGAAGAAAACAATTAAAGAAGGTCATATCCAAAGAGGAGTCAAGTGACTTATTTTTGGAAATATCTGTTAGTGGTTGGTTTTTAATTGGAAGAATCCGTGAATGGGTGCGTGCTACGTTTGACACGACGCATACATACGGTTGCTATTATTCTTTGGTTCAGTACATGACATTGCGTAGCTGCAATCGGCTGACTGAGAACTTGTTCCGGATGCTGATTTCGGGCGCAATTTAGAATATAACTCAGTAACTTTGAATCTAAATTGAGATCCTAGAATATTGTTTACTAGAAGTATACAGCATTCACAGAGCTAAAACTTAACTTTTATGCTTCAAGGAAACAAATGCACAAATGACAAATGATCTACTCTACTTTTAAACCATGTAAGCTTTTTGATAATAATTTGGTAGTTTACTTTTGAGATAAATGCAAATTTTCCGATGTGCCTTTAACTTGTCTTTCTATGTTCACTTTCTTTTTTTCAAAATTCAGAGATTGATTTCCAGTAAATCTGTACAATTACCTTGTAGATTATACCTCTCAATTCAGTAACACCCTAACATGTGTTTCTATGTTTGGTTCTCTTTTCCATCTGTCAGAGATTGATGAATGTTCTCCCAACCCCTGCCTGAACAGTGGTCAGTGTGTGGATAGAGTCAATGGGTTTGACTGCGTCTGTGCTGCTGGCTACACCGGCATCCTCTGCCAAACAAGTATGGTCATGATTTGGTTTGACTTTTTTCTTTTCAAAGAGACTTTTCAGAATAATGAATCGGTAGAGACACCTGATCAGATAATATTTTGTTATTTTTCAAAGCCCCAAAATAGTTGCATAAACTTGTTCTTCGTAAGAGAAGGGGTTTATTCCATCTAAGACAAAAGACTTTATTGCAGAGGAGTGCTTCGGATGGATCTTGTTGCAAGTGTGAGATTTATCTACATTTTCCCAGATTTCGGGATTTTTTTGTCAGGATTTTTCGTGATTTAGGGATTTTTTGGTCGTGATTTTTTTCCCGATTTCAGGACTTTTAAAGAATCCCTTTTGAAGTCTGGTATTTCTGCGGCTTTACCATAAAAGGTGTTTTAACCTATAACAGTTTATACAGAAAAAAACGAAGAAAGGGGTTATTTTAAGTGGTGCTTGTGAGCAAATGTAATCATAAATCATAGACCCTATGTTGCTCTGGGCCCTCAGCAGCTCCTCTACCAGTTATTTCGTGGATTTTTCATTTTTCTCCCAAACACACCCCTGTGGTTGATTTCATTTTTCAAAACCATTGAAAACAGTTCCTTTTTGTCACTTGAAAAATGGCTCTCACAGCCTTAAACTTAAATTGCTATTAACATTACAAAACTATGTGTTCATAACAATGAACTTCACCAAGCGTCCAAACGCTAAGTTAAAAAGACTAATAAAATACTTCTTATTTAAAAAAGAAAAGAAAAATATTTTAAGGCCTCAAGATGGGAAAAATTTCTCAAAACATTTTTTCTGCAACTTGACTCTAGGTATGTGAATGCAGTACTTTTTTTCATAATCTCTGTGCTAACTATTGTGGAAGAGAAACTCTCTGAATTTTTTTTTTTATTTCAATGTTACATTTTTTTTGGTCTAGACATAAATGAATGTGCCAGCAACCCCTGCCAGAACAGTGGCCTCTGTCAGGACGATGTCAATGCATACATCTGCAACTGCTCGCCGGGATACCAGGGTACCAACTGCCAAGAGAGTGAGTTTGAATTCTGTTTACTTTCCAGCTTTGGTTCAACGTAGAAAAACTGCAGGAAGTGGGATTCGAACCCTCGACCTCTGAATTACTGCATGGGTGTTCTACCCACTGCGTTATCTCACTCTATATTTGCGGTCAACCAGTTAATCAGTGTTCTGGTTATGAAAATAGTTTGATTGGATGTTTTCATGATATATTTTACGATTTGTTACAGATATCAATGAGTGTCTGAGCAACCCTTGTGTAAACGGCGGGGCCTGCCGTGATCAGGTCAATCGCTACACCTGTGACTGCCCCACTGGCTTCTTTGGAGTACACTGTGAATCAGGTATGTACTGCAGTATTCTTAGGCCTCTCCAAAATGCAAATTGTTTTTGGGAAACTTTACTGTCGATGATTTGTTTTTATTCGGCAGTATGCTAGGATAGCATACTGCCGAATGTTTGTTTTTATTCGGCAGTATGCTGGGATAGCCCACGAAAGTCATTGGACTTATTTGCAGTGGGGTCCCTTGGTAGAAGATGTGGAAGGAAATTAGTTTAAGTGGTGTGAGGAAAACCCCAAAATGATATTATAGGGAAAATCTACGGAATCAGGCAGGAACTGAAAACCCAATCCACATGTTGGCCCAGGCGGGATTCGAACCCGGGTCACAGCGGTGGAAGGCATGAAAGTACCACTACGCCATCCTGATTCAACCATCATCCCAAATCTAAGCTGAAACACATTTTAAAGACAACAACAATATGGGTGTGCTAGTAAAGTATTTTTTACAGCATTCCTTTGCTTTTGTTACTGTTTGTTTTTAAATACTTGTGAAGTTGTTTGCATCTTTGAGTCACAAACAACATGAGAATCCTCTGTCTGTGGCCCTTTTAAACCCTGTCAGTTGATTGCTAGGATATCCCAATTATAGTCCACATCTGGGATATTGTAACATGCGCTTCTAACAGGGGATAAACAATAACGAAGGGTGCTTTAATGTGTAGCAGTTCACTGTGTCAAACTTTGCTCCCGATAAAATAGTAAACAAAGTCTGTCACCATGAGCCAATGTGGCCATCAGGCCGGCATTTATCACAGGTTTCAGGAGCATGAAATGACTGAGATTATTTGTACTCCCCCTGGATGGGATGCTTGTCCATCGCAGGTTACTCCCCAGCTAATGCCTGTACCCATTTCTACTCCTGGGGGGAGAGAGGCAATCGGGGATGAAGTAGTTTGCCCAAGGACACAACATATGGCCAGCAGCTGGATTCAAACCCTGACCCTCTGATCATGAGGCATTATAAACCCTGACAACTAGGCCACACTCCCCCTATAATATAACACTCTCCTATGCACTAAGCACAAAGACTGACTTTCAAGGACTGTTTTCAACAAAATATGTGCAGTCGAGGACAACAAAGAATCTGTTGTTGTCTCTGTGTGTTGCTGTCCTCAGGACTTGGAACTGGAAGGCTTGTGAAAGGGGCCTTCTTTGTACAATTCTTCAGATTTGCCTATAATATATAAAGCTTATTCAGTGGAGCCCGTACTCCTGAATATTATCACTTGTGTCTCACAGTACTGTTTGTCACTTCAATTTGTTTTCTTCAGATTTTGACGACTGCGCTGCTTCCCCTTGTTTGAATGGGGGACAGTGCACTGACCTGCCTAACTCATTCCAGTGTGCATGTCTTCCCGGCTACAGCGGCGTCAGATGTGAAAATGGTCAGAAAGTACCATTATTGTTGTTATTATTATTTATTTTATTTCTGGTAATGAAACCAAGGATTCCTCAGAAGGGCCCTAGACACTGTAGCTTGCAATCCTGCAGAAAGTTGTCGAGAGGAAACAATGAGAAGAAATGACAGTTTTAGAGGTGGAGGGAAAACCCTAGAGGAATATTCTGGGGAAAACTCACGGAATCATGTAGGGACTGAAACCCAATCCACATGTGACCAGGGCAGGAATCGAACCCGGGTCACAGCAGTGGAAGGCGAGGAAAGGGCCCCTGTGCCAAGCTTCATTCAATTTATATTTGATTATTGATTATTATTCGCGTTGCAGAGCTTGTTCCTGTAATGTTCACAGGGGCACTCACTATGTAACATTTTAGATTTTTCATCATCTGAATATTTGTGACTCTCACTACTTCAAATATGAGTAGTAAATCTTAAGATTGGTGAAAACATGCAGTAAAAGAAAACGAGGTGGCACATGAAACAGCCAAAAACTAAAAAAAAAAAAATACTAGAAATGTTCTTCTCAAACCATTGCAATATTTAAGCATTTGCCTAACATAACATCACTTTTGTCCTCATATAATGTTAATTTATGCAAATTAATGAAAGGTTTACTGGCCGATGTCATGACCACCTCCATGACGTCCTAACCTCCAGGCGCTGATTGGCCAGAATGCAGATCCCTCTGAAAATATTTTGGTAAAAATCGCTTAGGTTTCTAAACTAGTCGACTTATTGTTTTACTGTGGAATATATGCTAGAAATATATGTAAACTAGCCCATAGAAACCAGCAAATTTTCATTCTTTCCCTCCCCCCCCATGCGCGGACTCCCATTGCTCGCCCAAATGTAAACAAGACTTTAGGCCATAAACATATTTTGATATTATATGTTGCATGTATTTTTTTGTCTCGTTATACCAGCCCCCAACCCCTGCGTTTCCACACCGTGTCAGAACCAGGGAGCATGCTTGCCTCAGAATGTAGGCTATGTCTGTATATGCCAGGCCAGATGGCGGGGAACCAACTGCGAAGAAGGTATGTAAACTAATGGAGGCATTTCTAAGTTTCCTATTCAGGAGGATGGTTGACAAAATAGCTAGTTGTTTGGGGAAAACCATTTCAGATGCTTACATTTTCGAAGAAAATTTAAGTCTAATAATGAATCCATGGGTAAATGACAGAATACATACAGATTATTTTTAAATCCACATTTGGAAATCAGGTAATTTCATTTTTTAACTGGTGGTCTTATCAAGATCCTTTTAATTGAATGTGCGCATGAACTCTATTTAATGTCCACATGAATTTGGTTTAATATTACTAACTTTACTTACATATGTCCTTCTCTGTGATAACACATTTCGAAGCAGCCATATACATTCCATGTATCCAAAGCACAGTGTGCTGTGATTTGTTGTATAGATTTAGGTAAATATCAGGCCTCTCAAGATAGCACCTTCGTGACTTCAGCTCCAGTTCAGTAGAGATCAGTAGTCCTGACTGAAGGCATTACCAAATTACTTGGCTACGGCTGGAAATCACACACATGGAATGCCTATGGAAGCGACTACAGCCGCTTCCCATAGACCCGTGTGTTTTTTCCAGCCATAACCACCTAATTTGGATGTGGCCTGACTCTCTGAATCTTATAGAATGCATTTTCATCTCTAGCTGTCAGTCCCTGCGAGAACCGACCGTGTCTGAATGGAGGTAACTGTGTGGACTTGGTGGGGGGACTGTACAGATGTGACTGCTTGCCAGGATACCAGGGAGAGATATGTGACGTCAGTGAGTACTGTCCAACAGGTTCATCTGTATCTAGGACTTGTTTCATGGCTGTGCTAGCCATTGGAATTCTGCACTGAGGTCACCTGCTCATAGCTCTGGGATTGTAGGGCTGTGCTTTTTTGAATGATTTAGTATTCAAATTTTGTTTTTGTTCAGATGTTTTGCTTTATGACAAGAAGAGCCATTTATGGAGCTGCAAAGACTAGTGGAAAGCTGGATGTTCACAGCCAAAAACGGAGGAGAAAAAGTCACAATCAATGTTAATCTTGTGTCATTTTTGCCTTATTGAATGTATTATTCTGGCGGTAGACATCACAGAATCATGAACTAAACTGCATTGAAAACAGCTGGTTGTTTACATTCTATCCGTAAGTTTTCAAAACAAAATAAAAAAACTCAATTAAATGATGAATGTTTAGCAGGTTGCATCAAAAAGTTAACCTTCCATCATCACTAATGTTCGGATGAAGTGTGAAGGAAACTGGAAATGGGTCAGTCCATAAATGGGGTCCAACTTTTTTCCTGTCCCTATTACAAATAATAAACTATTTTTTAATAAATTCAGGAAATGTTCTTTTTTATAATGCCTCTTAACTCCAATAGTTATTATGTAAAGCAAAGTACCTGCCAAACAAATAAAAATAGTTTGAAGTCACTATTAATGATACCGGTGCTTGTATGGCAAATTACACAAGTCAAGTGTATCAGGGACACGAAAATGTCACACTTTTGGACCCAAAATTTATGGGCATGACCCGACAGCCACTGCCCGTAAGCTTGTTTCAGCTGTTCCAATTTCTGATGTTACTATATTGTTATCAGGTTGACAGGAATAATCACGAGAGTCACATTGTAAAAATTCCTTTGATTTGATTTTTGCTATTTGTAGATATCAATGAGTGCGTGTCCAACCCATGCCAGAATAACGGCATCTGCATGGATCGAGTCAACCGCTACGAGTGCGTCTGCCTTAACAACTTTGCCGGGAGCAATTGTGAAACAAGTACGTTCCATTCTACCTTTTTTAATATCGTCTGTCCACTGTTTCAACGACGGCAGTACAGCATGTAAATCTGGATTTACAGTTACGTGGAGTGCCATTGCCTCATGGTCTGGAGCATTCAACTCATAGTCTGCGGGTTGTTCTGCACATTGTGGGTTAGATTCCAGCCTGGGGTTGTGGTGTGAGTGCCCTGTAAGCATGCGCATACCTAAAATGTTTGCCCCAACTTTGTATTGAATTGAGTTCCGCACGGCAATGACACTTTGTTTAGAACAGTGCCGTGCAACTCCATTCAGAATGATGTTATCACGGCACACCCTGTCAAGCCAAAAGATGGTGCCATGCCAAATTCAAGAGGGTTCTAAATGCCGTGATATCGCTCACCAAGTTAAAAAAAAGTCTAATTCATTGATTTTGGCACGGCAGTAGCAAAACATTTAGAACAGGCCTACAAGTGTCTATGAACCTGTCATTTATTTTGTTGTTGCTCTCTTTCAGACACGAGCCCTTGCAACAGCAACCCTTGTGTCAACGGCTTCTGCCTGGCCAACAATGGTCTGTACTTTTGTTTCTGTACCAATGGCTGGACGGGGCAGAACTGCGACACGCCGGAGGATAGCCAGGAATGCGCAAGCGCACCCTGCTTCAACGGCGGCACCTGCCTGGAGCAGTTCAACCGTTACACCTGTATGTGCAGCTCAGGGTACACGGGGCTGAACTGTGAGGCCGACGTGAATGAGTGTACGGCCACGCCGTTTCTGTGTCAGAATGGGGGAAGATGCGTCAATTCCATTGGGTCATATCGGTAAGTTCTGAAGCCGCTGAGAATGGTGGCACAGTTCCACTGCAATCGGCCAGTTGGGACTGATGTCTGTCAAGGGTAGAATGCTGTATTCTGAACTTTTTTTTTCTCACAAGAGAGCATGCTAGTTGACCTTAAAAACCTTTGTATAGGATCTACAATGTGTGTAATGTCCTATTTTTGCATTTATTTTGTGTCCTGTCTGGGGGCCATCCAATGATTATATTTATCCTAGTAGAATCTGCTAGGATTGGAATGTTAGAACTTTTAAACCATATAGAATTATTTGGGTTTTTTTGGTCACTCGTTGTAAGCAACTTTCAGCGGCTTTTTATTACCTATATTGTGATTTTTATTGTTGTATATGTTGCTTGTTTGTCACCAGGTGCATTTGTGATGTCGGTTTTGAAGGCACTCACTGTGAAACACGCATCAACCGTTGCACAGTTGGTTACTGCCTGAACGGAGGCACGTGTCGGGAAGGCTTTGTAGCCCTGACTTGCGACTGTGTCCCAGGCTTCCAGGGTAGCCGCTGCGAGCAGCAGGTTAACTTCTGTCTGGGCATAGTGTGTCAAAACGGCGGGGTCTGCATCCAGGGAGCTACTAGCTTCACCTGTCAGTGCCTGACGGGCTTCGGCGGCCTAAACTGCGAGATCAATATAGACGACTGCACGCCCAACCCGTGTCTGAACGGCGGTCGTTGCCAAGATGGCATCAACTCGGCCATTTGCATCTGCCCGGCGGGCTTCACAGGCAACACCTGCGCCTCAAACATTGATGACTGCCGGACCCCCAACTTGTGTCTGAACGGCGCCACTTGCATGGATGGAGTCAACACCTACACTTGCCGCTGCCTGGCAGGATTCACTGGTGACCGTTGTGAGGTGGATATCGCGGAATGCAACAGCAACCCTTGTCTGAACGGCGGTGTCTGCATCGAGCAGGTCAATGGGTACTTCTGCCAGTGTCAGGCTGGTTTCACCGGGGACCGCTGTATGACTGTCGTCAACATTGATGAATGCATTAGCAACCCCTGTCTGAACGGTGGCCAGTGCATAGATGGTCAGAGCTTTTACACCTGCCAGTGTAACCTTGGATACCAAGGTCTCCGTTGTGAGACTAACATTGACGAGTGTAGCAGCAACCCCTGTGCTAACGGGGGACAGTGTGTCGATGACGTCAATCGGTTCATCTGTCTATGCCAGGGAGGCTTCACTGGTCCCCTGTGCACCATCAACCCATGCACTAATCACCGTTGTCAGAATGGTGCCCAATGTACTTCCTCAACGTCTGTTATCTTAGGCTACATCTGCCTTTGCCCATCCACACACACAGGACAGTTCTGTGAGACACTTATTGGTAAGCAAACCCACACTTGTCTGAACAACGTTACCAAGGAGTAATCAGGTTGGTGTAGCAGAGTACTTTCCTTGCCTTCCACCGCTGTGACCCGGGTTGGAATCCTGCCTGGGCCAATGTGTGGATTGGGTTTTCAGTCCCTGCCTGATTTTGTGGGTTTTCCCTAGAATATCATTCTGGGGTTTCCTCCCACCACTCAAACTGTAATTTCCTTCCACACCTTTTATCAAGAGACCCCATTCCCGGCCAATTACTGAATGATTACAAACAAGCAAACATGTAACTCAATGGGTGCAGTCTAGTATGAAAAAAACAAATTTCAAATTGTACCACAGCTACTACGATATAATGGCTTGGGTTCATTGTGGTTTTGAAATGCTCAGTCGTGATTGCTGTAATCTGACAGTGCAATACATTGCACCTAAAGCATGAGATAAGAATATACAAAGCTTTGCAGCATCTTCATATATAATGTATTTGCAAAGTCCTGGCAATCATTAAGGAAGTGTTTGAAAATTTGGCTTCATCTCCATTTCGGCTTCTGAAGATTGTAGGCCCTGACTTGGAAGTCTAGGGCTCAAAATTGGTCCATGTTCTTCTTTAGTATATGGTTCTGAATGATTCTAATGAAGCCGAATCTGAAGAGGATGCCAGGTTTTAAAAAGAATCCTTAGTTGATCTGTGGGGTTATGTGATGTGGTGGATGTGAGGTAATAATTCAAAAATGTTTTGGTATTTTGTTATATCAAAGGTCAGTAGTATCATTTACATTTCTCCCCAAAGTAAGCTACCGTTTTATTGTCATAAAGCTTACTTGGATTAAAGATGGTACTGGTACCAAACACCTAAGAAACCAATAAATGTAGGTGATTTTCAATGATCAGTCAATTGACTAATTTTTGGAACTATATAGTGATATCGACAAAATCGTGTTTTGTGATCAAAAGGTTGTGCATGGGTTTTTTACTATTTTCTCGTAAAGTGTTACATCCACTAAACTGAAATTTAACAGCAGGTTAGGTTTTGAACATTGTTCTTTGGATTTTGAGTGGTTCTATTATTGGAAACAGACAAAATGCATGTATGCTTATATGTCTTTAAGTAGGATTCAGGTTGATACAGTCATTTGTCAAACCATTTTCTTTCTTGTGCTGGACAGATGGAGATGATTGTGCTCCAGTTAATCCCTGCTCTAATTCCGGGACTTGCATCGATGGAGTGAATACCTACAGTTGCTCCTGTCTGCCTGGCTTCGCTGGCACACTGTGCCAGATTAACATCAGTGAGCATGCCTTGAGTTTGAGTCATTGATGGCAATGGTCTGCTATAAGAACAATACTGTGAAAATCAAAACTGTACTAAGTAATCTTTTGTGGACGCAGTTGTGTTATCTTACAGTGATATGTTTTTACTGTATGAAAGTCATTTGATTCTGAATCCAATTTTACAGATTTTTGAAAATATTGGACATTTCTTGAATGAGTCTGTATAATGTTCCCACAAAAGTTCTGCAGAAGAATGCTTACTTGAACAAATTATTCAGTTGAACAAAAATTGAAATGGGATTCAAAATCTTTGTCGTCCAGAATACCCTTAATCCAGTCTTCCATGTTTGCAATTTTCTAATTTTATATTGTAATGACCATTTCAAAAGGAAAATATGAACAATCTCGATTAGAAATGCATGTTCATGCATGTTCATGTTCGTGTTCATGCATGATTCATGTGATTGTGCCATGTAAATTCTGGAAGGAGTAGAGTTTTGAGTAAAAAAAATAATTTTTTTTACCCCAGTGACCCCATGATGACCTTTGACCCCAGTTTGGTCATGTGACATGTTGGAGCTGGGCTACTGATACTTTTGACAAAGTTTGTTTCAAATCCATCTAAACATGTAGGAGCAATAGACAATGTCAACATTTGTTACTAACTAACTTACTAACACACTAACGGATTGACAAGATGATTTGTTGAGCTGCTATCTTGCAGCTAAAAAATAATTATGAAAAGAACTCACTAACTCACTAATCCCTTTTGGTTTCTTGTTATAGATGATTGTGTCAGCCGCCCCTGCCTGAACGGTGGATCTTGCGTGGATGGAATCAACCGTTACCAGTGTAACTGCCTAGCACAGTACATGGGAAACCAGTGCGAGATACGAATCTGTAAGTATATAGTAAACAAAATGCAAAATATGTATGGCCACATTCTTGTCTCCTTATTGGCTATTTAGAGTAATAGTTTAACAGATGATTAGTCAGGTCATTGTAATAATTTGTATGTAAGGCATCAATGGCGTCAATCGCTTCTCAAAAGTGGGGGGAACATTGTTTGATCAGAACTAATGCGAATGCGAAGTGTAAAGCCCTTCCAGCTTGGGTTTCGGGTTGAACAATTTTGGATTCTAGATGGTCTGTGGTGGGATCAGAGGCAATTTCTGACACTTTAACCAAATCATTTCGGTAAAAAAAGTTTTCGAGCGAGTTATTGAATCAGCTTTTCTGAGCTATAGAATCAAATGTAAGCTGATTTTTATTCGGGGGACGAAAAAAGTGGGAGTGGTGCAAATATTTTTATGTTGAAAAAAAATAAAAGAAGCAAAAAGAAATAACATTAAAAGCATTTAAGCAAACAGATAAATGAAGAACACAAAAGCACCCAAGCCACCGTAACAGTCAATCTTAAATTGACAAGGTACATGTAGATGGGCATAAAGAGTTTTGTTTGTCACTTCATTGCTCACGTAATAATGTGTTGAGTTTAATTTTTTTTTAATTCTTGGTCAAACACGTCTTGCAGCCTCACATGTGATTTGCATTATCTTCATCTCATAGTTTGGCCTCATTGACATTTTCACCCAAACAAAAATGCCATTTTATAGAGTGAGACGTGAACTTCAATCTCTGGACTGCCATTCAAGTGCACTAATAAGTGAACTATCCGACCCTGTATTGGAAGTCTATCTTTGTGTATCACAACCTAACCAATTATGGGGTAGATAGCTGTTGCAATACTAGAATGGCATTACCTAGGTTACAGGTTCAAATACTGTTGTTTGCAATTTGTTTACTCATCTGGAAATAAATTAAAACTGTACCTATTGAGTTTATCCTGGTTTTGTCTGTTTTCTCCTGTTCAGATACCCCCTGTCAGCCCAACCCGTGTCAAAATTCTGGTACTTGTAATGTCATCAGTGCCATTCAAAATCTCTTTGCGTGTACCTGTCAGCAAGGCTACACTGGGACCACATGCCAGACACGTGAGTAAATCATCCCCTACTCTGAAACTGAAGTCAGGTCGACCCTGTGGCAGCCAGAACAGCTGGTGACTGGCGTTTTAGGATCAAGCTGTACCTGAGCCACAACCGTCAGAAAGTCTCCCAAAAATTGTGCATACATTTTCTCTGTTTTTCTAAAAATATATAGTATCCACTGAGCTAAAACTTCACAAGTTAGTTGAAGATTACCACCCTATTGAAGATTTTCAGCATTTTTGTTGTTTCATTTGAAAAAAAAAATGCACAAAAAGCATATGATCCTGTGTATCTTTAATAAAATGAAGTTCAGGTATAACAGAGCTGGAAGCCACTCTGGGTCAAAGTTTGAAGGAAATATTATACCAGGGAAACAGACAAAGACATAGGTGGTTTAAATACCAGAAAGTATGAACATAAATGTAAATACAAAAGGAATAGCACATCACCAAATTGAGAAAAAGTAGGCTTTCTTATGGTATACAACAGTGGATTTAAATGACTGTAGTTCTACCAAAAGAAATCTGGCAGTTTAAGAACATTCACCTAAAGAAGAGATTAACACAGTTTGAAAAGAATTTGTGACCAAACTTCACCTTGACACTCATTTATGGAGTGTAGAGCCCATTTCTTTTAAAAACAACGACATCTAAAAACTTGTAAGGCTTGAGAAATTGTCCAATGTCCCTCAATGCAAGGGCAGACCCAGAGAGGTTATTGGGGGGGGGGGCTCTCTCAAGTGAAAAATGGCCTTATTTGAGAACATTTTGGTTACTGCTGGGGGGGGGTGGAAGAGAGGGGAGGGGCCCTCTGTACCCCTGGATCCGCCACTGTTGTAAATTTATCTCAATCCTCAAAATAGGTTTAGAGGAGATTCCCTTCGATGTGAAAACTCACTATTCCTTTAGTATTAAATTACAGAACCTGTGACAAACCATTGTGTGAAGTGTCCAGGAGTTGTATATAATATTACTTTGACCTTTGGTTATTTGACACACATTGTGTAGCCCCACAGACACGCTGCGTGCCCAATCCATGTCTGAATGGAGGAACATGCATGCCCATTGGTTTCACCTCATACTCCTGCGCCTGCCGCTCTGAATACACCGGCCAGAACTGTGAAACTGTGATCATAAATGGTGAGATTTTATCTATTCTACTTCAGCCTCTGATAAAAAAAAGCATGCGAAAATGTTTTCCTGAATGTACAAGTTGAATTACTTGAGTCCAGTACCCAGACTTAAGTCTGTCTTGAGTCACCTTTTGTGGACTCAACTCAAGTCAGGTCAGTAAAAGACTCAGATTTGATTGACACTGACCAAAAATGACTCGCAAGTCATATTTTCAGGAATATTTTATGGAATATTTTATGGAATTTTGCTCTAAATAAATGAATAAACTATTCTTATGATTATTATCACCAATACCCTTTGTGAAAATATAGTAACATGCATGTGGTTCCAATGTTCATTGTCTGTAAATAGTAAAAATAGAAAACTATGGACATGTGACATGTGAAATGTGAAAGTACCAGGCATGAGAATCTTCCTAGTTAACAGCAATTCCTGTTTTTTGTTGCCCAAATTTCTGTTTTATTTATTTATTTAGAGCCTGTTTTGGGGCTTTTTTTCCTGATTTCACATCTTTTTCCTTTTTATGGACAAGTTTCCTGTGTCCTTCCTTGGTGTGTCCTTCCTTGGATGTCTTTAGAAAGACCCTTAAAACAGATTTATTTGATTGAGATTCATGTTTTCATAATTTTCTTGTTAATGTTCATATTTTGCATATTTTTTTTTGGTGTGATTAATTTATTGTTCAGCGCTGTGAAACCATCTTTGAGTGAGAGCGCTATATAAATGACTTTATTGTATTGTATTGTATTGTATTGTATTGTATTGTATTGTGTTCATAGAGTAATTGACCTACACGTGTCGTGGTACAATCGCGTTAGAATGGCGTCAATGCAGCTTTTGAAATATTGTCCAATTACATGATATACAAATAGCGCGGAATGCGCAAAATCTGAGACAAACAAAACGTAGTGTACAAAAATTCCATAGGGTTGTCTAAGTGGCGTGGCTAACTTGCTAATGGCGATAGGTCAGTCAGGCAAAGACAGTTTAAGTTCGAAGCCACTGAGCTCTTGTTCAGGTCATTGTGCTGGCAAAGATGGTTGTGAGCTACATACCACTTTGTAAATGTTGTTGTTATTTTGATCCATCTCTAGATCCCTGCAACTCCAACCCCTGCCAGAATGGAGGAAGATGCACACGGGGCAGCAGTGGGGCGGTAGTGTTTTATTTCTGCACGTGCTTCAATGGTTACACAGGATTAAACTGCCAAACTAGACCGAGTAAGTTGCAATAAGCTTTTCTCCCCAAAATACAACCAATTTTTTTTTTAAAAAGGGGAAAAAAATCGATCAAAAAAAGACAGAAATGTCTCTTTTTAAGGAACAAAAAGTAAAAAAATTGCCCATTCATTGCTTTTTCTAATTTCCACTTTCTACTATTTTCCTCAAATAATGAGATTTGAGAAACTTTTGGTTTCCTCGTGAAAAAGAAATCACATTTCAATTCCTGTTGCCTGTTTTACAATGAAGCTTCAATGAAGCTTTTTTAAAAGATCTTTCTTCATCAAACAAACTGCAGGTCCTCATGGAAATACAGTTTTCTTCCGTATTTTTTTCCTAATGGGTTTACGAACTCATTTCGACCACTATTGAAGTATTGCTGTAACTAAATTACAATTTCCATGAAATAAGTTACGGAAAATAAGTCATATCTTCAACAATAAAAAGCTATTTCTTCACGTAAGTGTACCATTCTTTCTATGCTTAGGTCCATGCGCATCCAACCCTTGCCAGAATGGCGGTGGCTGCTCTCTGCTGCCAAACAACAACTTTGCCTACTTCTGTAACTGCATCAATAACTACTTTGGGATAAACTGCGAAAATGGTAAGTGTAGTAGCAATTGCACCTTGTGTATTTTAAAAGAAATTAATAGAGAGAGTGTATAAACTGACTTGGGACAATTTAAAAGAGCAGCGCCGATTTCACGAAACTTGCAATGAAACTTTTACGACACTTGCAATGACGTGACTCCACATGCGCCACAATTTATTGCGTCAGTTGCACAACATTGCGTAAGTTGCACAACATTTAACACTGGCAACATTTCAGTTTTGACACATTTTCATAGTGCGTAAGTCAGCGACTTGCGCAACATTTAAGTGGTGTAAGTTGTGGCACAGCAGCTGAAAATGAACTATTTTCCTAAGAAATCGTGACTGTCATGGAGCCTGTCATTGCACAATTTATCAAGGTTGATACAAGATACTCACACTGTCTTTGAGGTACATGCATTGCTATTTTACTTGTGACAGAATTTTTAGAGTTGCCACACGATTCCGAAGAAAGTCAGAGAAAACTATTTGCAAAAGGACGGGCAGAGGTGATTCAACAACTGTATCGTGGCCGAACTAAATCATAAACAAACAGTTTACGAAAATGCTGTTCGATCAAGATGTTTACATTATTTAAAACATTGCTCAGCTATGCCAAGTTTCGTAAAATCAGTCGTAAGCTAATTGTGCAGCTGCGCTCTGTTTTGTGAAATCGGCTGAGGATCTCATGGTATGTGGATGAGGACAGAAACCTGAGTTCACTCAAGTACTGTACCTGAGTTCACTCAAGTACTGTACCAGCTCTGTGTGGTTGTTCACCCAGAAAATGGACTGCATCTGCTCACGAACGGGAATGTGCAAAAACTTCTGGGTGTCTGGAAATAAGTACATTTCAGAGCTTGTCAATACATGATTGTGATATTTGGCATCATTGGTGTTTTTTTTGGGGGGGGGGTAAAAGGGGGAAAAGGGAAGCTAAAGAAGAAAGAATGCAATGAACTCTATGCGTAACTTTGTCTTCAGATTTGAAAATTCTAAGAAAGCAATGTGTGTTTATAAACACTGTATACTTGGTGATGTCGGAGGACTTGTGAGAACAAATTGACAAGCTTACTCGGGTGGGACTGGAACCGACGACCTCCTGCTTACTAGTGCAGACGATTGCATCATTTCTATCATTTGTATGATTTTTCTGTTCATAGCTAACCCATGTGCATCCAACCCATGTGTTAATGGAGGCACATGCTCCAATCGGAATCAGGGAGCCATCATCATCTATGTGTGCATGTGTCTGACGGGCTACTCAGGGGACCAGTGTCAAGTTGCACCGCCAAGTAAGACAATGAACCCATAAAATGGACCCATGTTCAACTTGTAACTGTCTTGTCCTGATCCATGACATTTCTTAAAATTACTAAAACACGAGGGTGCCTAAGTGACATTTATATTGTACACTCTCAGTAAGGTGTATATATACATCACTCCTCTGTGCTCGATTGTACACTATAAAAAATGCAGAATTGTTTTGTTGGCAAGATTTTTGGAAAGTTGAAGAACAACCTCAAACAGACAAGAAGATATGTTTTTTAAAATAAGTTTGTTTATTAGGGCTTACTTAAAGTCGTAGATGTTATAAAAGTTCACTAACAATGTTGATATCAGATGTACAAAAATGCTGAAATGTTTACTAAATTGTTTCACTGTGGGATTTTTCGCTTCATTCGTTTACACTAAATGAACAGTAAATGTCTTTCAAATTGTATTGTAGTTCCAGGTTCATGTGTGCCCCATCTATTTTTGCGAAGAGTGTTATATTTGTTCACTTCATGATCAAAATGACTAAAAGCTCCCAAGCCTAAGGACAGAGAGATATGGGAAAATCAGAGCAAATCCTTTCCTATTCATTTCTAATACAAGTTTCAAAAATGAAATGGTTCACTAGTAAACCAAAGCAAAAATTCGAAACCTAGATTTTTTGGGAAGAATTTTGATTGTATCCCCTTCCACTGCCTATAAGACCCACTTTGTTACGTCTTCAAAGCTTTGCTAAGTTATCAATAGACCTGAGACCTAATGACATAATGGCTTTGTTTACATATGCGCTGTTCTGTGGGAGCGAAGTCTGGACGCCAGACAAAGTAGGGACCATCTACCACATAGGAAAGCGCACATGTAAACAAAGTGTGACCTTGAGGAAAGCAGACCACTAATTAACCATTATCTGTTGTTTTGTTTCTACCCCAGATCCTTGCAACAATCTACCGTGTATGAATGGAGGCCAGTGCTCAGTGTCCCCCACAAACCCTAGTGGAATCATATGTACTTGCCAGCCCAACTATTATGGAGACAGATGCCAGTTCTTAAGTAAGGATACATCTTAGTTGATTAACACTTTTTAAATGAAAACAATTTGAAATAGACTGAGTCACAACACATTCATAGCACTGGCTATGCATTTTGGGTTTTAAAGTTGCATCATCTGTGCTCTTCACCAAATTCATTTGTTTTTTTCTCAATACATTTTCAACTTGTGTGTTTTATTCGAACCCCCAAACTACTATTTTTATTTTTGACCACAAAAAATGCTGCATTACAAGCAGACAGGTTCCCAGTCCTTACACTTTCGATACTTATTGTGGGGCGCGAACCAGCCTACCCGAGAGAACTGAATTATTATAGGGCTGCAAGCAATTTGAAAGTTGTCAAGTAATGATTCCAAACTTTCCAGATTTTTCCAGTCGATGTCGCATTCAAAAGCGAATAACTTTTATACAATTAGTTGAGTATAAAAGTTTAATGAAGGAATCCATTTTTGTCAGAATGAAAATCAACAACAGCACAGGGAATACATCTTTAAGTTCTTACCTAACAGGCACACAGCAGAACTTTTAAAGTCTACCATTAATTAAGTATTGGAACTAAGTGTTTTTCTAGACCCCAAATTTTATGAGCATGTTTAAAATATGCCTGGATTTTAACTTGTTTACATGATCCCTGTATACATGGAAATGTGAGAAGGATGCTTAGGTCTTTCTTGATCAGAGGGTCAGGGTTCAAATCCAGCTGCTGGCCATATGTTGTGTCCTTGGGCAAGCCATTTCACCCCCACTTGCCTCTCCCGACCCAGGAGTATAAATGGGTACCGGCATTAGCTGGGAGCAACCTGGGATGGACTAACATCCCATCGGGGGGGGGGGGGGGGGGGGGTATTCTCAATCGTTTCATGTGACTGGAATGGGACCCACATGACTCGACTACAACACTGCTTGGAACAATCGTCATGCCTTCATCACATTGATTTGTAAATAACTGTTTCATTTCTTCAGCCAATCCCTGTACATCCAATCCATGTATGAATGGTGGCAGCTGTGTGTCTCGCTTAGATGGGGTCAGCTTCATCTACCTATGTCAGTGCCCTGCAGGCTACACTGGGGCACGATGTAGCATTCCACCATCTGGTAAATATTAGTTGAATCCTTGATCCCAATTGGTCGATCCATGGCAACAACAGTGTGGTATTATTCCATATACCATGGTCCATACCGCACTCCGTGTATCGCGCTATTCTAAGGTGCATGCGCCTTTCCCGCTGCTCACACGTGCAATAGGATAACTGCTGAAAAGTTTTTGTACAGCGTGCGTGTTCCATCTTTACTGTGTATCAAGTTTTGCTTGAAGATAAATTTCTATCCCACTCGCGCCTGTGGTATTCTGAAAAATGAAGTGCATCTGCATTCCAATTTGGACTCGGACGCACTACGTTATTCCGTGTTCCAGGAGTGCTCGTGAGATAACTAATAGTTTCTGCTCTATTCTGCACTTATGATCACTGCTCTATGCTAATAGTACTAGCAAACAATTTTGTGAGACCCTTTAAGCACAGAATTCTTAGTCATAGAATGTACCGGTACTAACCTATGAAATATGCTTGGTTTATGGTTTATGGGTTATTTTCATATCATATCACAAAAAAATAATTAATAAGAATCTATATATGGAATGACAGAAATGATACGTGGGATCATAAAACTGTAAGCATAAAATTTTCTGCTACAGTAAGCGGGGATTTTTCTCTTTTAGTAAGCAGAGCCATAAAATTGGGTCCTGATTATTTCTATAAGGTCTTTGCCAAGAAAATTAAGCTACGGCCCAAAATGACTTGACACACGTAGCTTATTTTGGTGCACAATGTAATTTTCCCAAGCACATACATTTGCTAAGTAGGATTTTCTGTATTACAACCAAATGGAATTTGCTCTTTTGTTCAAATGATTGTGTCTTGCTGACTCTATCTTTCGGTTTTAGCCAAAGTGAAGACTTAAAAGGTCATAAGAAATTAATCTGAGTGATGACACTGTCTCTTCTACCATTTTTTAAAAAACTTTCATTGCCCTGAATGGGGCGCTGTGGTCCATTGGTTACGGTGTTCGACTTATATGCTGTGGTATCTGGGTGTGAAGCCTGACAGGGAACAAGGTGCTGGTGTTCTTGGGCAAGACATTTTACTGCAATTGCCTTTCTCCACCCAAGAGTATAAATGGTACCTGTGAAGGTGGAGACCAAATTGCGCTGATCTCGAGCTGCTGCAGAAAATGGTCTCATGGCCTGACGAATAGGGGTAATACTTAGTAAAGCGCTTTGAAACCTTGGGTATAAAGCACTATACAAGCACCAAATTATTTATTTATATTATTGATGTGATTGCATATCATCCTCATTTGGTGCCTAGAGGCAAATGTAAGGACACTATTTTTGTGTCTACTTTTCTTTGTTTTAGATCCCTGCATAACACAGCCCTGCCGTAATGGCGGCATTTGCACCAGAGTCAACAACTTTCAGTACACTTGCCAATGTACCTCAGACTTCACTGGTGACAACTGCCAAACGCGTAAGTCACAATCAATTGCATGCACAGCAGAGTACCATCTTTCACTGTGTGGGTTGCTTAGCTTAGCATCCATTTTGCTTTAGCATGATTTGAATTTGGGAACCACATAAATTTAACCTTGAAGATATTTAGGATCATTTGCATTAAACCTTCCAAATTATTATCAAAAAGTTTACTTGGATTAAAGATCGTACTAGTACCAAACACCCCATGAAATTATTCCATCTGGTGTGCTGTCATTTTGAAGAATGATTTCCAATGATCAGTCAATTAACTGATTGTTTTGCTGCATGTTACATTCCCAAATGTTAAACTTGTGCTATCTCATTTTATCGTTTAGCTGCTACTACACCTTGCACTGTAAGGCCGTGCCTCAATGGAGGGACTTGCTACGTCGTTGGCTCCAATTTCAACTGTGTCTGTTTGGCAGGCTACTCGGGAACAACTTGCCAGTTTGTCAGTAAGTTTCATCCAGCATGGACCTCTCTGCCCAGATATAAGTGCATCATAGGCGGTTTCTGTGTGTTTATAACCCAATTCTTCCAGAGAGAGCAATTCTATTATAACTGACAAGCCTACCCTTGTAAGGTAGACAAATAAATATAACAGAAATTGGTATAAAGGTACACATTATTTGGTCACTCCCTCTACACCTTGTAGATAAATATACACTTGATCAATGCTATAATTCCCTTTTGACATTGCAGATGCGTGTTCTCCCAATAACCCATGTCAGAATGGTGGCAGGTGCTATCAAAGTTCAGTAGGTAGCAGCCGCTACACGTGTGAGTGCCAATTTGGATACACGGGAACCAACTGCGAAACAGGTAATCCCCGGCTCCACCCCTCCCCAGCTCCACCCCTTCCCAGCTCCACCCCTTCCCAGCTCCACCACTCCCCAGCTCCACCCCTCCCCAGCTCCACCCCTTCCCAGCTCTGCCCCTTCCCAGCTCCACCACTCCCCAGCTCCACCCCTCCCCAGCTCCACCCCTTCCCAGCTCTGCCCCTCCCCCAGTTCCGCCCCTTCCCAGCTACACCCCTCCCCCAGCTCCACCACTCCCAAGTTCCACCCCTCCCCTAGCTCCGCCCCGCCCCCAGCTCCCCTCCTCCCCCAGCTCCGCCCTTCCCCAAAGATTTCTCACAAAGAAATGTGAGGACTGTTTTGTTATTTCTTGCAATTTGAAGGAATGAGTCTTGTGGTGGACTTTTTTAAGCACTTTGTATTTTACGAATGAAAGAGTGTGCAGGACTTGTGCTAGTTCATGCGTGGTATTAACTATTCTTATAAGTTACGTTCGTTAGCAATACCAAAGGCAGATTTTTCAGGGTGGAGGGGGATGGCAAATTGCAAAGTTCACAGGTAACAGGGACAGGTAAAATGTCACACTTTGGACCCTAAATTTATAGAATAACTCGTATGTGCATGACATGACATTTCAAGTTATAACCTGTTTTTAATAAGCAAATTATTCTTGTGCTTAATAACCCTATTGCTTTTTTACCACCATTTCATATCGCATATCTTAACCCTGAATAGGTTTGAAAACCGTGTGAACAAGCCTGGTCCTTTTTTTCTTTATTTCTTGTCATACAGTTGTTCCCACAGCGTGTTCCACCAATCCCTGCTTGAACAACGGTGTTTGTGTAGTTACTGGCCAGACCACGTACTCCTGTAACTGTATCAGTGGCTACAGTGGCACTGTATGCCAAACCATAGGTAAATAAATATTTGAAGAGTTCATTTCCAAAACGTGATCAACGCCATTTGTGATCAACTGCCCCAAGTCAGTTTCCACAGGTTTTGTACATTTAAGAGGGCAATCAAGCCAACAATGAAGTTTAGAAATGGCTGTTGTTTTGTTTAGAAATATATTGTTTTTATTCTTTAAACTTTGATAAACTGCACTTTTTTCAAACCAAGCCTGCTTCATGATATGATGAAAGACAATGTGAAGCTGATGTTAAATGAACAAAGAATGGACTCAGGTGGGATTTGAACCTGTGACATCAGGAATGCCAGACTGGTGTTCTACCAACTGAGCTATCAAGGTTTATGTCGGCATTTAGCTGATTTGTCAGACTTTGGGAAAAAAACACAAAGGTTTTAATAGTTTAATTGGTAGAGGACTGGTACTGTGTTCCAGAGGTCTAGGGTTAAATTCCCACTCCAGCCAATATTTTTGTTGAACTGTATTTATTTAAAGCGTACCTAGGCCGTTACCCTTTTGTGGTTGAACCAGGCCCGTCGCCAGCCCTGAGCATCAAGGGGGGCCGTAGTACCAACAAGGGGGGCCCACTACCATACAAAAATACATATGTTTGGCTTTTGCTGTTGAAGGGGGGGGGGCAATTGCTTGCCAAGGGGGACCCGGCCCCACCAGGCCCCCTTTGGTGACGGGCCTGGGTTGAACTATGAAATTGGTTAAATACTGAATAAGTTTAATTTCCTCTTTTTTTTCCTTGTAGTTGCCTGCACGCCCAATCCTTGCTTAAACGGTGGAAGCTGTGGCATCAATCAGGCCAACAGACTGGTTCCGGTATGCACCTGTGCCCAAGGATACAATGGAGATCGGTGCCAGACCTGTGAGTATTTATGCTTTTACTGCAAGTATTTCAATTTGTTGTTTCAAATTGATTTTTAGCTCTGAATGTAACGTCCATAATGATGGAATTGCCCGGCTGTTTTTGTAGATGTTTAGCAGAAAATCTAGATGTTACAAGGTTCCAAGATCTCATCTATTTCCCTGAAGAAAGAATGAATGAACTTAAGTTGCTTGACATTTATGTCTAACTTGTGGTGAACTAATGAAGAAGAGCAAAATATAACTAAATGAAAACTGATTGTTTTTATTCCTCATCAAATCTCACAGCGATGACCACACCGTGTAGCAACAACCCGTGCCGTAATGGTGCTACCTGCGAAGTCATGGGAACCTTCAGCTACCGATGTCGATGTCTGGCTGGCTACACTGGGCCTACCTGTGAAACCATCAGTAAGTTATTATCGAGTTCTCATTATCGAGTCAATGCCCAGAGATCGGTTTGAGTTAGCAATAAATGTAGTCAGGGAAAAAAACAAAGTAACTATAATTGAAATGTAAATCTTTAAAAGTACATGTGTGCCTTGCATATTTGGTTATCACTGTTTATACTGAACAAAAAATTAAATATCTGTGGTGGGTTCGACGCAAATATAAAGCATTAAAATGGAATTCAAAAATTGAATTTTGAAACCATTCCAAAATCGCATTATAAGTTTCATTTTTGTGTCATTAAGAAACAGACTTTCAATAGTCTTTCCTTTTTCACGTCGTAATTCCCTCATATTGGAGTTCCATAAGCAATAATGCTAATAATACTAATAATTACCTTGGATTGGACATTTGGGAGACATTCCCATAGACTTGTGCACACAATTGTTCAACATAAATGTGCCCTAACCCAATATTCCCTTGTCCTTTTTCCATGAATTTTGGTATGTTTACTAATTGGACCACGAGCAACAAATTTAACCTAATTGCGACAGTAAAGTTGTGCCTCTAAAGGGGGGCTGTGCCATTAGGGAGACATGAAAATGTCTCCCTAATGACCGATGTCTCCCACCGTTTGAAGAAATTACGATAACATGTCTCCTTAATGGTACATTTAGTGGAATAAGGGGTTCTTATATAGTGCTTTTAACTAAGATCAAAGTGCTTTACAATTTTAGTAATCTCTTTCACAAGAATAGATCTCCACTACTGGTATGCAGGTTTGCTCAGGGACATCACGCAGACACATTGCAGGATGCATTTCTAATGACTTGAATCGAATGGAAGATTTTGCAGTTTATTTTTCTAACCCCATAGTTGCTAATGTCTCATCTGTCTGTAGTGGCCTGCAACCCCAGCCCCTGCCAGAATGGAGGAACCTGTATGATTAGCTTCAGCAACCCGGTTGAGTATTTCTGTGTCTGCCAGGCAGGCGTCAGCGGAAACAATTGCCAGTTTGGTAAGTATGATCATTTTCATCTTGAAACTTTTATTTAATAAGTATTTATTAATATCTCATTAGTATTTAGTTTTAAAGGTAGAGTAGGCTATTTGCATCTATCCAAAAAGTAACCAACCAAGTTAATGTTCAGAAGCTTACTTGGTTTAAAGATAGTAATGATACTAAACTCCTTGTGAAATTATTCCTTCTGGCATGCTGTCATTTTGAAGAAAACAATAAAGAAGGTCATTTTCAAAGATGTGTCAAGTGACGCATTTTTGGAAATTTCCTTTGGCAGTTGGTTTGTGATAGGAGACTTTTGAGACGGTCGTGGTAGCACAACGGTCTTTTTCAATTGTTTACGTCATGTTTAAGCTAAAGCGTGCATGCTCAACATGACGCACACAATGGAAAAAGGACTGGTGTGTTTACAGTCACCAACGTTACGTCTCAAAAGTCTCCCATTGGGCGAATCCGTGAATGGGTGCAAGCGCGTCGACACGATGCACACCTTAATTTTCACAAAGAGCTGGAAGCATACTGATAAGTGGCACAGAAAATGAAAAGTGACGTGTAAAGACTAATTTGTGAAACAAAGCCATCAAGTTAATCGGATGATGATAACATTCTTCAATTGTAATGGTTTGTATTTTCACATGTGATGGTTTAATCATGTCATTCATTGAGCCTAAGCAGTGTAACAGAGCTACAACATTGCGCACACAGAGTTACATTACAATAAGATATTATGCATTTTCTGACTGTCTTCCAAATTTATCTGAACAAAAGAAGATGCACTCAGTATTTTCATTTACTGAAAGCACATTGATGGTCAGTGAAAAATTTGACACTCTGTGGGTGACTTCAAAAATGATTGCACTACTCAAGATTAACCCTAACTTCCAACAACCCATCAAACCCCAACGGCACTGTTTTGTTGGAGTCCGTCAGAATCAAAGTCAAAAATATGTGTGTGCAGTTTCCCATATGGTGTTGGAATTTGCCGGGATGGATATGGTTCCTAGTAAATTATGCTAGGGAGTTAGGGTTAATGTCTGAAGGTCTTATTTCTCTATGTTCACACAACCTTACGGATGAGGTTTATGGGGTACTTGCATTGTTGTCCCTTTAACCCTCTTCTTTAGAATTTCCCTCCTGGGGTACCGTTTCACAAAGACTGACTTGTGGGGTACAATTGTTCCCTTTGTGTGAGTACCCCATAAGGTAGCTCTCGTAAGAGCACCCTCTACTCATTTTTTTTTTTTAATGAAACTGTTAAAGACTGACCTGCTCACATGTTTAAATCAATGTGTTGGTTTTCTCTCAAACAGTTTCCCAGACTCCATGCAGCAGTAGTCCATGCCAGAACGGTGGAAATTGTGTTAATCTAGACACAGTCCTCTTTGGTTGCATCTGTCTGCAGGGATACACTGGCACTAGATGCGAAACCATCGGTAAAAAGAAAGTCATGTCTTATAAAATGTTTACGCTTTTAAAATGGTTTGCTGTTTACACTAAGATTTACATTCAGGAGATATGAATTATGTACAAGAAAACCTAGATGCTTGAAATAGTAAGGAGTGACTACATCAAATAATCGACAGTTTCGTTTGGAAGGACTCCAGAGCCTGGTCAATAGAAAATGAATACATAATGTTCACCTGGCTGAAACCAAAATATACTTGGTGTGACTCTAGAAGTATTAAAACAAATACAATTGTGAAGACCTGGGTTACATGGTTACACCCCTGCATGTTACATGGATGCTTTTAATTAGAAATTAAATGTACTGCAAATTAGTAAAAACAAAAACAAAACAAAACAGGTAAAGTAAAGTCTGTCACGAGCCAATATGGCCCATCAGGCCTGCATTTTTCCTCGGCATGAAACATCTGATAACATTTCTATTCCCCCTGGATTGGATGCCAGTCCATTGCAAGTTACTCCCCATCTAATGTTGGTTCCCATTTGTACTCCTGGGTGGAGAGAGGCAAGGGGGGGGGGGGGGTTAAGTGGCTTGCCCAAGGACACAACATATGGCCAGCTGGATTCAAATTCCTGACCCTCTGATCATGAGTCACAAACCCTAAGCACTTGGCCACACTCCCACTAGTATATTATATGAATTTCCCCTGAAAAAAAGTTTGGTTCCCTGAAAATAAATTAGGTTCTGAAAAGAATATAAATCCAAGCTTTTCCTCCCATTGCTAAAAAAGAATATTTTATTTAGTCCCATCCATAGACTACAGGGCTTTTGTAATTTTCAAGGAAGCATCAGTCTCGTAACCAGAAAGAAATGAAATGAAATGTTTGAATTAAATTCAACTCCTATTAGCTGAAAAACTCTGTGCCTTTGATTTAATTTCAGTTGCCTGTGCCTCCGCCCCATGCCAAAACGGTGGCCTTTGTACGGTTAACAACGGCAACCCCACACAAATGGTCTGTACATGCCCACCAACACACACTGGCAACTTCTGTGAAATAGGTAACATTAATATCTGTTTTCCTGGATAATTACGATTCATTCCAGAATGTCGTTGGGCTTGATTGTTAAGGTTGCGTTTGAATTTACACCAATAGGTATATACGTAGTGCCGTGTCATTCACAAAAAGTAGCATTCCAATTTGTCCAGTTTAAGGGAGTTTGTCTCAACGGGGATTGATGTTGAATTAAATAACCTATTTTATTTTGTTCTCAATTTTTTCCCGTTGAATTAGGTTTTTCTATTCAATGCCAATCTCCACATGAGATGAATTATCCAAAACTAGAATGCTACATTCGTGAATTACACTGCACATGAAAATAAAATCTATTTGTGTAAATCTGAAACTGAAGTTAACAATGGAGCCCAACAACATTCTGGAATGGAATAAAGTATCTTTTTATAGAATTTGAATGATATAAGTGTTAAAGTAATGGGGAAAATCTATACTATAAATGTACAACCAGAAATGAAAACTGTAAAAAGTACTTTTATAGAAATGACCAAACATTTATTCCCAAACTTGTTCTGTATTCATAAGCATGATAGCAACGCATCGTGTGTTTCTGAGGAATACAACCTTTCTATATCTTGAATTCTATGAATGACATGTACCAGAAATAGAATTTGTAATCAGGTTTTAGATGGTCAGGGACCACCGATGGTTTTGGAGAGTCCTGGTTCAATGTGGAAAGTACAGCATAAAGAACAAATGCCTTCCAAAATATATATGCAGAAAGTAGAATTATGTGGGGACATTGCAATAGGTGTCCCTTCAAATATTAAAGTGTAAAAAAATGTTCTTAAACTCTAGAAAACACAAAACAGAATACTGTTTGCATTTGTTATTTGCCAAAAAGTTTTTTTAAGGCACTCCTATACAAATTCTCCCAGGCCAGTTATAAAGGTAAATTTTGTTTTTTTCCTTTTGAAAAATTGATTCAGTAATTCCTGTGGTGAATGTGTGCACCATCAACCCGTGTCAGAATGGTGGAGTCTGCATACTTGATTCTACACAGGCCAGTGGATACAGATGTCGCTGTACTAACGGCTTCACTGGAACCAACTGCGATAACTTTGGTATGTTTGGCATCTGACTTCCAGCCTTGGAATCTAACCATAAAATAGAGCTACACCAAATAAAGGTCACCAGTAGATTTCATTTGGTTTTACCCCACCGCGTGGGGGAAGTAATGAGCTAGCTGTCAGTATAATGACTCACCATACGCAGAAAACAAAATGCCGATCACATTTTACAGCCCCCGAGACGCACAGTAATAATGCACACGCCATTTATATTCACAATATAATCGTTACACACGATATTATTTCATCTTGACACGCTTAATCTTGATGAAAAAGCCTATATTTCTGACGCATTTGTGATGCACGACATCAAATTTCGCTGTACGATGTTCTGTGCATGTGTGAGTGCATCCGGTATTCGCTGGTTCTCACCGCATGCTAACAGAATCAAAGCTATGATGTAGGACCGGAACCAGTGACTACGGCCTACGTACAGTCTAGTACCGAACCATGATGTACCATGCATGACTACAGAAGCGTAACAGGACGAATTTGGATCATGGAAAATACCAAGCAAACATCGGTGGAGAAAGATAATTTCTGCAAAGTAATTCTTAGAACATGATCTTCTCTTTTCTGTGTATGTATTTTCCGTTGAAATATATTTTTATAACGAAATTTTACCGCTCGGATTTGATACACCGTAGCGTATTTCTACAAAATTTTCGGTCACAGCACGTGCAGGCTTGTGCAGTCTCTGTATGCGTTCCTGAGCCACTTTTACCGACTCGCACTGTCCGCACTGGACTTATCATCTCGGGAAAAGTGACCTGGTCAGTTTTCCTGGGCGCCTGTTGGCCGCTGGACTCAGGTAAAGTAACTGAGAGGAAAACGTCCCAGGCTGTCCGCACTGGACTTATAATGGAAAAAGTACCAATAGTCTCGGTAAGCTTTACCAAAAAAAGTCCAGTGCGGACAGGGCTTAACACCCCTTGAACAAAAACATTGACAAAATGTGGAGCATCCCACATAGGGCTGGATAGCTCAGTTGGTAGAGCACCGGAACGGCAATCCGCAGATCACAGGCTCAAACCCTACTCCAGTGAATTTCTTTGCTCAAACTTGAAATAATATGAATTCATATAATATGTGTCCAGAAATTTCTTTTTGGTAGATTCCATTTGGTCTTGTCCAGTGTCACTGTTATATTCATTCTCCAGTGCTATGTACTCAATTGTTGTGTCTTTCACATTTGACACAAGTGCTTGAGATTTCTAATTTCATCTTATGGGCCTTCTTCACGAGTCGCCATATCAAATTGAAAGCGAGGTAAAATCTTCATTTTTGGAACTTGCAAATAGAAATGAAAGTAATGAAATAAAGTTAATTGCATATTAATACCAGTCTGCTCTGATGAATAATTTAAAATTTGTGATTGAACATACTAATGTTTTAAGCCACATTTAAAACAAATTAAAAGTGAGGTTTGGAATGCATAAATTATCTGGCACCATCCCAGTCAACAGTTTGCAAGGCTTATTTACATGATTAACACAAACGTGATTTTCTCTCGCAATGACTATGTCATGCGGCAATGTCCCACACGTGCGTGTGTGAACAAATTTGAATGTAAAGGCGCTCATTGATTTGTGCGTGCGACATTATTGCGCGACAACATCGCGTAAACGTGTGTAAAATTCAGGGAACACGATCAAAATGACATCCTTGTGAATAAGGCCCATCATACCGTCACCATTTGGAAAGGTTGGCAAATCTGCCCAATTCGCTGCTAAACTGAGATTTGAGAATATCCAATTTGAAGTTGGCCCATTTTTTCTAATCTTGATATTGTTTACATTTCACACCAAATTATGCAACTGATATATATCAAAACAATATACAACTGATGTGATAGCCCATTTTTACATAGCTCTACTTTGTCACTGTTTTTGTAAAATCATATTTAACTGAGGAGATATTACTTACCAAACAGATTTGTGACTTTGTAAAAACAGAAACTTTGGAGCGCGCTCACATTCCTCACACATACGTAGCATGAGTTTGTACACAGATTCGCCACACATCTTGAAATTTGTGGAGGAAAAACAAAAATTGCAAAATACACAAAAAATACACACAAATCCCGATTTGCTTAAAATACCGGTTATGGACAGATTGGTCACTTTGTCCAGACAGTAACACTGTTATGTATCACCCTCTTGTAGTGACTCTGTGTGCATCGCCGTGCACCAATGGTGGTAGCTGTATCTATGATGATTTCCATGCTGTCTACACATGTAGCTGCTTGACTGGCTTCTCAGGCCACCAATGCCAAATATGTAAGTACACAATTATTAGATAATAATCCCTTGAGGATTATTCCTTTAGATGATGCTACCTAAAACCTCCTGATGTCATACTGTTGTATCATTAGTTATTTTGATATTGGGTGTTGTCCCTATGAAAGCTTGGGAAATTATGAAAACTGTTGAAGAGCTCACAAACAAGATATATTCACAACGTTGCTTGTGAATTTGGTTCAAGTCGGACCAAGCAAGTCTGTGTGATCCCATGCATTGCTGTGCCAATGCCCTCCTTTAAGTAATCATGGGCAAAAACTCCTAACTTCCTTTTCTGGAATATCTACCGTCGACCAACATTGTAAATAACTGTTCATTGCTTGAGCTCTCTGGTCTCTGTATATGTTGAATTCGATATGTTTAGCAGCCACCTCCACTCCTCCGAAAAGTTTGGACTTGAACCACACCTAAGCCACCCCACCCCATCCCAGCCCAGCCCTCCTCACCCCACACCACACCCAACCCCACCTAACCCCACCCCACCCCACCGAATCCCCAGCCCAACCCACCCCACCCACCCACCCAACCCCATCCCCAGCCCAGTCCAGCCCCACTTAGCATTTGAGGTTTATGGGGTACCACTATTGTTCAACCCTAATTCCCTTCTTTTGTTCTCCTTTGTCCCGTTAGAAATCTCAAAACCCATAGCATTAGGGCTATGGGGTACTTTAATTTCTAAAGACAGACTTGCGGGGTACCATTGTCCCTATATGTGCCAATATGTAAGAGTAGCCCACCCAAACCCCACCCCTTATTGCAAAGCCTGGATTGGTCACTGGTAAGGTATACAATTCAAACTAAAATGCAGAAGTTCTTTTTCTCATTCTGAAGAGTAACAAGCAGTGAACCATAACAAGGGAATGCCTTTGTCACAATTCATTTGATTAGCTTGTGAGGACTTGGGACTGGATGATTTGTGATTAACTTGTTATTGACTTGTGATGGACTCAACTACAACACTGCATCGTATTGCTTGTGATTGTCTTTTTTTAGCTGCACCCTGTGGTGAGAACATCACCCTGACAGAGGGTGAGCAGCGGCGCATCACCAGCCCCAACTACCCCAACAACTACCAAGACAACCTGGTCTGCATCTTCAACTTCCTGGCGTCCGGAACCAACCGACGGTTGAGCTTTGTAATGGAGGAACTGGCCACCGAGTGCGATCGAGATCTGGTCCAAGTGGGTCAGGGCACGGACCCGACTGACCCAACCTCCGTCATTATGAGGGACTCTGGCACCAGCCTGATGGCACCGTTCCATGTGGACTCTCAGGACGCGTGGCTGATGTTCACGTCGGACTTTTGGCAGACGGAGAAAGGTTTTTCCGTCGTGGTGCAAGACGTGCCGTTGGACTCGATGGGCAATATGGGGGATTGTCAGGATAGCTTGTGCTTCAATGGCGGAATGTGTGTGGTCCGGCCTGGAAACCCTAACACACTGATGTGTGTCTGCCAGGCTGGCTATGGAGGGGATAACTGTCAAACAAGTGAGTTCCTTTGGAAGACCTGTTCTCAGTTACATGAGGCTTTGGAGCTTGTCGATCCATATTTGAAATCACTTTGAACAAACGTATAGGTCTTAAAAAACATTTTTTCACTCCATTCCCTTTGATCTTCACCCACTCTGATGTGTCCCCCATTAATCCCCTTTTTGTGTTTCTCCTCCCACCCGGCATGCTTGTGAGTCCTTACATGTTTGTTTCTGGTACCACTGATTTAGCCTCTGAAGAAGATCTCGTTAAGATCTAAACATCAGGCCGCTTACATTGATTTGATTATGTACACTTCAGGTCAATCCAGCCAGAAAGCAGTTTGCAGTAGTTTTATTCATTTTTATTCATTTTCATAAATTATAATTTGCCTTATCTGAAGTTGGACAAAAAAAATGTGTCTGAACAGCATTTAAGTTCTGAGTGGCTGTACTTGTCTGCAAGAGGTACATTGGAAAATGATAATGAGGGGATGGATATACAAAGTTTGATTTTTTTTTAATCAGATGTGGATGAATGCCAAAGCAACCCTTGCCAGTCCGGTGGGGAGTGTCGCGACGTCATCAATGGCTATATCTGTCTGTGCCCTGCAGGACGCGGTGGCCCCAACTGTGAAATAAGTAAAAAGCGTCTTCTTGATTTCATTATCTAGGAGTTCCTAACAGTGCTTATTTTGTTGTCCAATTTTTCCTGTCCCTGTTAAATCATATTCTGGAAGCACCCTGCATTCTTCCTCCAAGAGTGAATGTGTAAAGCAAAATATGTATCAAACAAATAAAAAATAGTTGCAAGTCATTTTAAAATAAATGATACTTGAATGGCAATTTACAAAGTTTATTGGGGACAGGAAAAGAGTCACACTTTGCACCCTGAATTTGATGAATGATCCACATCAATTTTCAAGCCCGGAAAAACCTGTGGAGACTTCGGAAGAAGATGTTAGCCCATACTCACATTTAATTATAGCCAAACTACATGTATGTGGAGTATTGTAGCCAAATGTCTTCTGTAGTCTTTTTAAATTTTTTTACTTCATAATTTTGTAGAATTACCACCTTATTTCTTCTTTTCGATATTTTTTCAGCTACAGCCAACCCTTGCCAGGATGAGCCTTGTCAGAATGGAGCTATGTGCTTTGAGCTTGCAGATGGATCATATGTTTGTGACTGCGTGGCGGGATTCACTGGGCGGAATTGTGAAACCAGTAGGTCCACCCTGTTGATTTTTTTTCTCATAATGCCAAAGAAATTAGGGTGATGAAAATTATGGAATAAGTTGCGATGGGTGACTCAAGTCGACAAGGAAACCATGCACAAAACACCCAAATAACGTATGGTTTTTACAAACTGGGTACAATCAAATTTGTCATCACAATTGAATTTTTCGTCGAAAGTGAAATTAGGCAAGTTCCTAATTGTGTTAGTTATTGATAGTGTTATCAGCATAAGATTTTGAGAAAACTTCTCCAGAAGTGTGCATGCACAATTGTAGGCATGTAGTTCCATTTATTCATCTAATAACATGGCACAAAATTGCCCATCTTAATCTTTCTCCGATTGTGAAACTTGGCTGGAAAAAAATTCAATTTGTGATTCATTTTCAGGCTCCATTGATTTCTGCAGTGGGAAAAAAAAATGAGGAGAGTCAAGTCAATAAACAATGCATTATTCAAAGATTGAAATATTGAAATATTATACTACCAATCATGTTTTTTCTCTCTTTTTTTAGCAATAGCGGTCGGCAACCCATGCTCCAGTTCCCCCTGCTTAAACGGAGGTTTCTGCCACAATCTGGCTGATCAGACACTCCTTTGTCTCTGCCCGAAGAACTACCAAGGAGTCTACTGTGAAATCGGTGAGAGGTCGTCTCTGCAACCATTCTTAATTCTGTCTCATATTAGCAGTAATTCTGAAATCTTGAAAAGCATTTATTTCAGCAGTTTGTGTTCATTTTTGGAAGTCCGTGAAAAATGTCTGATTTTTTTCCTTTGTATTGTCCAGTGTTAACGCTGTGCCAAAGCTCGCCATGTTTCAACGGCGCCACCTGCGATGACTCCAGTGGGAATGTAGTCTGCCAATGTCTTGAAGGTTACGTCGGAACCTTTTGTGAGACAGGTACTTCCCCCCCCCCCCATTAGATTTGTGCCGTTAAAGGGGGTTATCTTTTGCTACCAAGGTTGAAAATATGATAGTTGCGTTCCTGTGCTCTTCAACAAATTTTAGTATTTTTTTCTGTTAATAAACTTTCACCTTGTATGTTTTATTCTAACCCCAAAATTGATTATGGGGCAGGAACCAGCCTACCCAATAGAGCAAAATAATTTGTCATTGTTAAGTAATAATTCAAAAGCATAACATAGGCCAATTTTCATTTTTTTTTTTTTTTCATTTTCTTAAATCTGACAATGTGGTTTTTTCTTGGTGCATTTTTAACAGCAACCAGAGACTGTATTTGCCAGAACGGAGGCATTTGCTTCGGAGCCAACAACTGTATTTGCCGACCGGGCTTTGGTGGCCAGTTCTGTGATATTAGTGAGTACATGTAATTTAATTGTATTTTCTTTGTGTAGAATTTTCATTTCCTCCTTGTCACCATATTTGAATGTTTGGTTTAATGGTCTCACACTTTATATCACTCATCATCATTCACTGTCTGCACATACAAATTGTGGACCTCTCTACCACGATCATACTTCCCATCATCCTATACAACCCACAGTTTTTCAAGAGCTTCATCAACAAGCTCGATCTCATATCTCTTTTCTGGTCTTATTTCCTGTGTCAAGAGCTCTTTTGAACCTAAGGTGATTCCTGCCTTTTCTTGGCATTATCTAATAAAAAAAAAATTGATAAGCCTGTCTTTGGTTCAAACAGTCCTAAGGTTTTGAAATGTTTCTCCCCCCCCCCTTTTTTTCCCTGTTTCACTCAGATATCAATGAATGTGCCAGCAACCCGTGTCAGAATGACGCTGTATGCCTCGATGCAGATGGTGCTTTTTTCTGTGTTTGTCCGACGGGTTTCTCCGGACTCACCTGCGACACCAGGGGTAATAAGACATAATAAACCAACATTGGATGAATCTCATTTTAAGCAAGGTTTAAAACAGCACCTTCACAAGACCTACATGTTTCATACACAGTCAATTAAATAATTACAAATAAAAAAATAAGTTTTCCCGTCCAATTTTTGCAACTTGTTTGTTCCATCAGAACGAATGTTCATTCAAATTCGCATAAAAATGGTCACGCGTTTTTGCACACCATTTGTTTAATTGGTGTGTATACTTCGAGGAATAAATCTTGCATAATTAAAAAGGTGATAAAAATCATATCAGTTTCTTTTACTGATTTCCCCATCGCCAATATGATTAACGTTTGGCGAAACAAATGTCAAATTCAGTCAAAAATTAATACATCTATTAAAATTTGCCTACTTGGTGCGAAATCAAAAACCAGCAAACCAAATTAATTTTTCTTGCACAAAAAAATTTGACCACTGTCGCTTATTTGAACTCATTCAAACAAAATTGAATGCTGAATTTAGAAATTGTATTCATACCCAACTCTGTGAAACCTCATGAAATGAAACAAACATTTTTTTTCATGATTGAATGAACAGGTTGCAGAATTAAGCAGGAAACCAATAATTTGGAACAAAAAGTAATGTTGAAAAAAAAGGATAAATATCTCTGAGCATATTGGTAGGCTTTTACATAACTAACTAAAGCAATATTGCAAAGTGATGATAAAATAGAATATTGCTTTTCCTTGAAAAAAACATATTGCTTTCCTGATCACTGAGTGATCAGGGATTGGTACAATGTACATACATGTACGTCTTCAGAAATGTGGTCATCAAATAATTTTGGTTTCCTTGGACAGACCCGAATAATGCAGGACAGACTGGCAATGAAAACGCTGGTGGTACAGATGGAGGCACTAACAACTCATTGGGCGTAGGTTGGATCATCCTGATTGCTATCCTGGGATTACTGCTACTCCTACTGCTGCTGTTTGTGGTTGTCAGGTCCTGGAAGAAGTATGATGATAGGTGAGTGGTGATTGTTGGGTTAGGGTCGGGTTGGGTCGGCTGGGCTATGAAAAACTGGGCTGGGCAGTCAGGCTATCCTGGGATTACTGCTACTCCTACTGCTGCTGTTTGTGGTTGTCAGGTCCTGGAAGAAGTATGATGATAGGTGAGTGGTGATTGGTGGGTTAGGGTCAGGTTGGGTCGGCTGGGCTATAAATAACTGGGTTGGGCAGGGCGCAATTTTTTTTCACCCCAAACGACATCCACATGGGGTATACGCTATGACGTTTTGGACTTTACAAAACTAGCTGAGCTAAGCTCAGCTGGGGATAGGACTGGTCGGGTAGGACTGGTTCAGGCAGCAATGGACTGGCTAGGCTAGGCTTGGTAGGTTAGAAGTAGACTGCTATTTCCAACGATTCTTCCAACGATTCTATAAATATATTAGCGGTCTGGTAAGAGTCTTTTGCAATGGATGAAAGTTTGGAAGAGTTGCATTTTTTCATGGCGAATTTACTGTGTTAAGCACAGCACCATGGAGGTTGTTGAGCAAATGCCCAGAAGATTTGCATAAGTTTTGTTTGCAACAATTTCAGATATCAAGTGATTTGCAGTTTTGTGTGCGTGTGTGTTCGTGTTAATTATTTAATTGTGTAAAGCTATGCCTGATTTTTGTTTGGACGCCTAGTTACCGTGGGTTTCTCATTGTAATTGGTGTCTGTTCTTACAGGCACTCTTCTTCTTAAAATAATAAATACAAACCCAATATATGCACTGAACTCTTCTTTGATTAATGATTTCTTTGTTGTGTCAAATAATTTGGGAGTGCAGATACTCTGAGGACAAGTCTCGCATCCTGAGTGACTACGAGGACAACCTGCGATACCAAGACAACCAGAGAATGGAGATGGGTAACATTCTCCTGCCCGCTGCAGGGTAAGCAGAAACAGAAATCACTGCTAAGCAAGGTTACTAGCTAAGAAAAAAAATCTAGTGAGAAGCAGTCACTGGCAGCGTTGTTATGTTCTCATGATATCAGGCTTGGTACAGTTGTTTTGTTAAGCGAATGTTTTCTCCGCTCAGCATGTTTTTGTGCTTAGTTGGCTTATCAGCGGCTCCTGAGGAAGCAAATTGAAATTTTTGGTTTTTATTTGGCCTGACTTAGTGAATTCCAACCATACTTGCATGGAAATTGTGCATAATGTATTAAGCTGTATTGCTTGTAACTGAAAAATGACACTTTTTGAAGGGGCACTTAACATTTATGTTGATTACCTTTGAAAAACACTTAACTAAGCTAGGATTTGAGTCTGTGACTCCAGAACTTGCCGACACTATCCTGATCTTTATTTAATAGTCTAAGGTTTACAGGCAGATAGGATCATTTGCTTTTCATGCATTTTGTCCCATTCCAATAATAACACCACGCAAAATCCAAAGAAGATTGTTCAAACCTAACCTGTTGAAATTTCAGTTCAGGGGTAATTATACTTTTAGGAAAAACAGTCAAAAACCACACGCCACCTTTCGATCACTAAACATGATTTCATCCAAGGCACTCTTATATTTCCAAAAAATCAGTTGATTGACTGATCATTGGAAATCACTTACATTTCTTGAATTCTTCCAATGACAGTAAGCCAGATAGAATAATTTCACAGGGTGTTTAGTATCAGTACAATTTTTAATCCAAATAAGGTTTTTGATGATAATTTGGTAGGTGTAAATCCTTCTAATCTGACTTTCTTTTTTAAACCCAATTCTGTCTTAAAAAATAAACCTAATTCTTTATTTTTTTGGTGGTTTGTTTAAATACCCTATTGTTACAAACGGTTAAGACCAAATCGTAACAAAGTCAAGAAATGTTTTTGAGTCAATATGCACGGTCCCCCAACGAGAAGTTGTTAAATCTTGTGCCCCCATTGTGCTTTCTTGGGATACACAGGGTTACATTGTCATTTGTTATGCTAAATTTAGACGCATTAGATGATTGCTCACAATGTGAATAGGCTATTGACCATATTTCTCTGTACCTGTACTTTGTCTCTTACTACAGAACAACCAGCGTTGCCCATCTGAACACGAGAGAAGAACCTTGGCCGGTTAGCACTGACGAGATGCCTACAAGTAACATTTAGTCCACAGAAAAGTACTTAGACTTTTAATATAACTTCACAATTTCCCTACAATGGTTTGTATAAAATAATAACCTTCTTTTTTTGTAAAGTGAATTGAAATAATTAAGTCTTCCCATATTTAATTGTGCACATTAACACATTAAAGTTTTTAAAAATATTGGAAACTAGATATATACGTTTGGGTGGTATAATAACGTGGACATTTTATGCACATTTGCTATAATATCTAAAAATAAGTGTACTTATATGAGGTTTTCAATTTTCAAGTATGGACATTCTTTTATTTCTATGACTTTATATTCACTGAAAATTTTTGTAAAACAGTATGACCAAAGTAGTTCTCAGTTATGACAATAACTTAAAAGTTCTTGAAAGAGATTTGGTTTTTGTGTAATATTTGTCTAATATTTCAGGTTTTTCCAGTGTTTGTAGCACTGATTTTACAATATATTGAAAAGAAAACTGAATTATGTAGTCGCATTTATGGGGCCAAAATTGATACAGTTTTTGTATGTATCAATATTGTTGATCATGTAGAGGCACATACCATAGACAGTGCAAGTAAAAACATAAAGAAAGATTGTTGACAAAAATCTTTGGAAATTTGTGCTTTTTTGACTTGTTTTAACTTTTTGACCGGAAGGTATTTATGAATGGGAATAAATATGTGCTTGGCCGGTATTAAAAAAGTAGGTTTAAACCCGCTAGGTGCCTGGATGCTGATAATGTCCGTTGCCTTCAGCTCAGGCCACTATCAGGGTTCAGGCCCCTAGCCGGTTTTAAACTTGCTTGTTTAAAACTGGTCAAGTTCATATTTATTCCCTTAATAACAGGGAATTAAAAACTCGGCTTTTACTCTCTTTACAAAAATTCTACTGAGAAGGAACTGAATTTTTTTAATATTTTAACCGATCTATTTTATGTGGATGATTTTCAGAAATCTTTTTTTGTATTTTGAATCATTCTGGTAGATTAATGAATATATACCTCAATAATGTTTAAGTTGTTCATAATTTTGTAGCCGATGAGATGATTCTTTCTTTGACTTTTCCACACCACTCGTTCAGAGATTGTTTTGTGCATTAATAGGAGTTTCAAACGTGACCCTGTGTTTTACACAACTGATTCATTTTCACATCGTTTTAATTGCACCATAAGTTAATTGAGATGAGATGTAGTAGCCTTCAACCATCAAGGCAAAACAATAGTTAATTTCTAGACATGTTCCCCCCCCCTTCTTTCTGTCTTGCTATCTTTTCATTACAGTTGTGATTTATTTGTAAATTCATAGAGTAAACAAAAGAGCAGCTTAATTACACATTCCTCCCGACACTTGTATTTTTTTCACATTAATATTACAATTGCGGTTGTTTGGTGAAGTCTTTAATTAAACAGTGCTGAACCACGCCCCATTCGGTTGTCAACTTGTTTTCACCCGATCGGGCGGTATAGCGCCCTCTGCTGTCTGGCTATTAATACTCTGAGGATTGCTGGGTTGGAATTTCTACTTTTGTAAGCCGAAAAAATGGAAATTGCATTCCTTTCTACTACGTTCAGGATGACTGACAGTCCATGACTGCAACCCAAATTGAGACACGTTTTTGTATTGTATTTTTTTTTAGAGCAAGGGTATACTGTACTTTTTAAGTCGGTGTTTCAGTGAAAACTGAAGGAAACAAGAACAGGAAACATAGCTAGGCCCCTAGGTTTCGGCAAGGGAAGTACGGATGGTTTGGTCGTAACCATTGCGAGAAAATGATGATAATTTCTCTTTTCTCGAAAAGGACAGCATACTTGTACGCGCAACGATTTCACAGGATGATTGATCCTATTATTTACTTACAAACAAGTAGGATATTTCAAGATATTTCTGAGTGGTTGCTAAATGGTATAACTACGCTCATTTTGTCGGCTATCGGGTTCGGGCCGCGGTGTGTAACTTGTGGTTTAAATTCCAGCTTTCACTGTGTTTATAAACCTCTGACCTATCATTGTGTCCAGAATTCCGATCCTCGACTAAGATCATTTTCTGGTGAAGAGAAACTCATTTAACCTGTTAACTGTACACAAATCGGTGCGATCCAGTATCTGATTTTTCAATGGTCGGACTATAGGCTTACACTCTGCTATGGGAACCTGGTTCAGGAGAAATTTAACCTGTTCTCTTTTGGGGGGGGGGGAGTGAAACTGACCGTGTACAGGTGAAGGTTGAGTGCGCCCATTTAGAACAAGTCGTTTTCATACTACGTTCGTCACAATTTCGTTAAAAACAGTGACCTTGGTTTTTTCCTTCTTTAATTTATTTTTATTTTATCGTCTACTCCGCCTACTCACAAATTTCAGTTCAGCATTTTAAAGTGCCACCCTCTGACTGTACAATCAGTTTTCAAAAAGGGACCCCAATTATAATGCGCATATAATGATGTAGGCCTACATGTACTTTTGTTCTGTACTTTGTTGCTATATTATTGTTCCTTTTTCAAATCTGCTTTTCGCTTCCTTTTGTTATTCCTAAGGGGATATTATGGTAGTTTGTTCAAACCTTTTTTCTGGAGTGCTCTTTTGAAAAGGATTTATATTTCTCCTCAACCCACATTTACACTGTAAAACACATGATATGGTTGGGGGGGGGGTAGGAACAAGCAAATGCTCAAAATCGCAAGGAAAACCAAAGATATGGAAAGCGCCGGGTCGCCACTGGTCTTTCAGTAAGCAGTTTGAATGAACGGACCCGACCCATGTAAAATCTTCAGCGAATGCTGAAAACCAATAGGAAAGGTGGGGTAGGCGATTAAGAACTCGGTAATTAGTAATGCCTGCCTGAGCAGCAAACTTTTCCATTTTACCTTGGCCGCTTCATAGACCGTTGGCACCCACCGTGAACTGCAAAGCCATGCCTACACTTTCTGTAGTCACAACCCGATGATCTCATCCCTATTCATCGCTGCCTATTGTTACACTTTCAAAAGCCATGGCAAACACTGAAAGGCTAGGCATGGCGGTCCATGGGCTAGGTGAGGCCAGGAACGGTTTGGTATGGGAACCGGGCCTATTCTTACGGACACGCCTGACTGGTCACCAGGTATCCTATTCAACCTACCCGGCGCAGTCAGTCGTTTGTGGTAGCCTTTGGGGGCCAAAGCGCAATTTGAAACAAACACAAACCTTGCGTTTGGGACCAAAGCCCAAGCTACTAAATTTCGTGAAAGCAGGCGGGTGTGGATTTAAGATAGGCTTGTTTTGAAAGTGCGAACGAGATTGTGTTACGTGGGCATTATCCGGTAGCGAAACGAGGACGCTGAGAAATTCATGTCGTCGGGTCACACACACCGGATAGAAATATAGCCTGAAATCGGCAAAAAATTGGACCGCTTTTCCGACCCGATCTTGGAAATAAGTCACTTCTCAGAGTTTTGAAGTTGTACGGAGACGAACCCGATTGTTGGCGGAGAAAAGTGGTTGGTTTACAGGGGACGATGAGGCACTTGCTGCTGACTGCGTTCGTAGTTGCCACCGTGTTGACAGGCGGAACATGGGCAGTTAACGGTACGTTGTGTAATTGTTTATTGGTTGATGGAAGCTGTCTTAATGTGGTTTGATGGAGTTTCATTAGGAGGGTGGATTTATGAGGCCCAGACAAGGAGAAATATTTTTGAATAATATTCTCCTCATGTCGTTTGTGGACCGGGTCAGTAACGTTACTTTTTTATTAATATTTAGAAGTCAAAATTGGGAAAGAGTTCCATATCTACACATCATTTTGACATCACCCTGTGCACAAACCCTATGAGACTGGTCTGAAAAATTCCAAGTGTTTTCTCATTAAATGTTTCAATATTTTGCCCGCTAAATTTGACTTTTTAGGACATGTTATCGCTTTTTGATGGCTGATATAGGTCAATGCATGGGGAAAGTAGTGATGTCCATGTATGGAATTCATAAACAAATTTGATTAAGTTTTAATATTTATAATTGATATTGATAAATACAGCGAAGGGCAAACTATAGTAAGGTTGTACACCTAGGTGATTAATAAAATGAAACTTTGCCAAAGGTATTTTACATATACAATGAATAAACTCACATAAACCCCGTTGTTAAGTATTTTGCCTGCTTGCAGTTAGTTGCAGACATTGCCGTTCAAAAAAAATCGAGAGCAATAAAAAGCTTTAAGATTCGAGAATATCACAGAAATTCAAACAAAGGAGTCTGGAATTAGAACATTTGTTTTTAATTGTTTTTTTTTTTAATTTGTGAACATAATGCCTGAAGAGTGTTGAAACTGGTGTCATGAAAGTATCGGCACAATATATTGGAGAACGGAAATATAAATGCCATGTATCACAATTTTCACACTTTTCAAACAAAATTCACTGTCCATTTTTTACCAAAACCATGGTTCTTTCTAAACAAAAACTAAGTTCAAGATACAATTTATTTTTTTGGGTTGCGTTTCAAAGTTTAATCATACCAAATCCTTTTTTTTGGGTAGGCATATATTTAGCAAATGTGGGAAGAGTTTACTTTATACCAAACAATAAAATTGGCAGGAAATGATAAATCTGAAGAAAAACGCACACTTAAATCAAGTTAAAATACGTTTAGTGGCACAAACTAAATTATTTTAAGAAAGTTATGTGTTGATAACAAGCAGAAAATGTGCACACAGGCTACAATTATGTTTTAAGAGGGTTTTTCTATGTGTAAGATAGTTGTGAATATTGACAGTTTATTCTTTCCCCTTTTTCCCCATATTTCCTGACCAGTAATAATATTGTAGCGGAGATATCAAAGAAAAATCTTATAGTAGATTTCTTTTGGGTTAACTGTCCGATTAATGTCATCAATTTGCAAGCCAAAACGATAACATCTGAAGATGCAGTTCAGTCATACAGTAATGATGTTATTACTCCAACCATTGTCTCCGGTAGCAACCAATTTCCAATTTTATTGACGTGTTGACGAAATTTACTGGGATTTTTTGTTTTAATTTGATAAGGCCAAATTCTCCCATATCGTGCGCCTCTCCGATAGGCTTAAACTTGCAAGGCACAATCTTTTTGAAGGGGGAGTGGCATGGAATGTTATAGAAATATGTTTTGAAAATGTTTATTATAGAATATAGTTGCTAAATTTCGTTAGTTTTAAATTGTTTGATGGAGAATCGACACAATCCAGTTTACGTAGACATCACGCGGAAGGTGAGCGAGAACCATTTGCGAAAAACAGAGGATTTGAATGATATGATCAAGTCGTAATTTTCGTCGTCTTAACTAATAACTGTTATCATGTTATTTCAAGTACATTACGAACTATTATGTAGTCCATCTATCCGTGTAAATTCAAGTTGGTCTACCGTTCCGCCAAAGATTCTCCGCCCAAGGGAGATGATTTTGCAGGATTGAGGACGGCCATGAAGATCGAAACTAAAGTATAACGAATGGTATAATGGGGGATTTGGGAAGCTTTCCCATGCACAAAAACAATGACTACAGCATGTTAGGATTTCAGGCATATGACCTTGACCATAACACCAAAAAAATGCCATTCCGATGTATGATCAAACAAAAGTGGGCAGATCTGGAACTGTCCACGTCACTGGTATAATTTATCGTGGAAACACTGAAATTCTCACTACACCCGATAGGAACACAGATTTCAACGAACTTTTTTTACTGAAAATACAAAATTCAATGGGAGTTAGCTTACAATATCAGGGAAAATTCAACGATAAGGTTATTTCGGAAACCGTGGAATTCAAAGAGAATGTATCTCTGAAAAACGTTATTCAATGATTGAACTTATCAGGGAAAGGAGATTAAACGATAATATTATCACGGAAACACAAAAAGCATTGAAAACATATCTTAGAAACACGGAATTCAACGATAACGTATCTCGAAACCATGAAATCTGTGTTGTATCGGGTGTGTGTTTCTGTGCCTGTTATCACGATACAATTATCGCAGTGACTTGTATGATCATACCATGATCATACATGTACGCCTCCGTACCAGGAAGAGATGAGATTTTTTTTTCTCAAATACAGAAGTTTTTAGAAAGCTTTGTGCTCTCTGCTGAATAGAAGGAAAATAGAAACGAATTTCCCGATGTTAGGTTTAAGTATAACCATGGAGCTATACAACTTTTTTTTTTTTATAGCTCCATGATACAACTATATGCGTCTAGATGTTTGGCAGTGTGACATGTATATCGCTGTACGTAGCTATGTACGTACTTCCTCAACTTTCAAGATCACAATGTGGCGAGTTTAAAACTTCACCGTGCGCCTGACTTAGATGAATTAAGATAATGCTTACCATTTAAACTTTAGTCCATTTTAATGCACTAACAATTCTCAGAAAAACATGAAGATTCGTTTCAAAACCCCAATGCTTCAATACTTGGGTCGAAGTTTAGGCTACATTGTAATTTTTGTTTACAACCATGGCTTGCCTCGAATATCTGCGTGTACATGCATGGCGGAAGGCCCCTTTGCCTGTTTTGCATAAATTAAAAATGGAACTTGCGTTCCTTCTGCATCTGCTCTTCAACAAGTTCTATTAATAAATTTTCAACTGGTATTTTTACCCTTATTCCAACCCAAAAAAAACTGCTTCTTTTTCCTTGTTTGGACGTCTGCAAAGCTCTGGAAAAGTTGTATTTTTTGTTGGGGGCGGGCATAAACAGATCCGCTTTGCGAGCAGACCGGCTCCTGGTCCCTACATTATTGTTACTGATTGTGAGGCGGGAACCAGCCTACCCCGCGAGACTGTGAATTACATGTCTGGCAGCCAATAATTCGAAATTGTAAAGTAATAATTCAAAAGTGAATAATTTTTGTACTGCTAGAAAAAAAGCAATTTAGAAAAGGAATCTATTTTTCCGGATGAAACTTGAAAATAGCACGGGAAATGCATCTTGGAGTTTTCATTTTTCATTTGGTTTGATCACGTGGGACCATTCGACAAGTTAAGAATTTAAATAGATGTACTTCCATATTAACATCAACTACTTTATGATCATGTTTTGCTTTAACAAAACAAAATCAACAAGCAACTTCAGTTTGCAAAGTTTAGAGAATTAAAAAAAAAACACTTCCCATGAATAAATATAATTCCGTCCAAACAGCTAGTAGGATATTTATCTTTGGGGTGCGTTCTATAGGCCGGCATCCCATAAAAACACCCTCCCCAAATCACCCATCATTTGCCTTCCCGCAAAACTCAATGCCCATTAGTTGCTCAACCGAGTGAACAATTTAGTACCCAACCACCATAGCAGTACATGTTATCCTCCAAAAAATGACTTGATGCTACAATACCATTCTGCCGTAGGCACGCTGTCATCACCTATACCGCCTGTTGCTGAGGTACTCATGGGCGTTCCCCTATAAAGCACCAAGGACCGTGCGTAGAGGTACGGCAGGCTGACTCATGAGTCATGACCGATCATTATTAACCTACATGTTGGTTTTATTGCTTTCCATACACCGTCAACGCATTTTCTTTTGTCAAGGCCAACAAATGGAAGGCTGTTTATGCACTGAGCTCGTTGATGAGGATCATGGACTGATGGAGTGTTGGTTACACGCGTTTGATTTCTGATATCCACTGCTGCCGCCTTCTGAATGATGGAACTGAATGATCAGTTGTTTTGGCAGGAATGAAAATGGCTGATATTGGTTTAAATGTGCGGTGTTTTTAATTACAGGCTAATCATCATCATCATAACTATTGACACCGATACCCACGGTAGCAAAACGATACCACACTTGCATCCAGACACTGATGTGCTCGCGCATAATTACATCCTCGATCAAGCTATCCGCAGCGTTGCATTGGTGACACCGTATAAGCGAGCGGAATGCAAGACATCATCACCCGTGCTGTACGGACGAAAGCCTGCGAAAATAATGCGAAAAGTATATATTTGCACACCCTGGAGCTTAGCAATGTGGAATGTCTTCGTTAAACTGGGACCATGTTTCTACGGCAATAACAAAATGAAGTCATTTTCTTTGGGAGTTCACACGAGGCGTCTGGGAATGATGATTATACGATGATGGTATCGCTGGATGTTGAGACCATTTCGTTGTCAGCATGTAACACGTTGGATACCACACTGTAGACAAAGACGTAGGATTAACTTAAATGTCCACTTGATTAAATGGGGAGGAAGATCAAGACATGACATGAAACTCTAACACGGCAGCTCTGACGACATACAGCACTGCGGATTTTTTTTCTACGGAAATTCGGACAGCAATTTGGTACTATTGTTTTAATACACTACGTTCGTTTTTTTCCTGTTTTGTAAATGATGTAGACCTCGTGAAATTTGTCAACAAAACTGCATCACATAAATGCTGTGTATTGGCAACGACTCTACTTCAAACCATCCGAGCGTTTCTTCATCAAATATGAATAACAAAGAGAAGAAGCAGATGTGCCACTGATAATATACGTGAATTCACGTCTTGAATTTAATAGCGTAGAATGAGAGTACACCAGCTAAAATTTCAACGCCATATTTGGTACTAAAAG